GGGCATGAAGAGGGATTATGGCTACATTGTGTTCAGTACTCTGGACCTGGATGGGTTTATGAATGCCCATACCCGGATTGGGCATCACTCAGTTAACTTTATTCTTGCTTTTTTGTCTTCTTCTGAGAAATGCACTGCTCTTATTCTTATAGTTTGCTGAAAATTGTAGAATTCATCCCCTAGGCGGACAGGTAATTTAGCTTTTGTGGCCAAGGAAACAATGTTGTAATTAAAATGTACATTAAATTAAGTCAGTTTAATTAATGCAGTATTTTCCAAGTGTTATTCTATAGTCTCACACCATTTTGGAACAGTTTAGCTTGGACTGACTAATATTTACTCTGAACATGTTATCATAAAAATACTGACATGTATCAAGAAGTTCATGATTTTGCAATCATTTTGAGCATGGAAAAGCTTGGTAGTGGAAACACCAGCATGTAAAAGCTGGTCATGAAATTCTAGTTGAATCTGGTATTTTCAGGGAGATCTCATTGAACAGAGACAGATCAAGATGAACATGTGAGGGAATTGGTAGTGCAAAATAAAAGTTTAGATGGATGGTCTCTTTTATCTTTGGCATCCGACACAACTTTTGGTGGAGCATGTGGTGTTAAATTTGTGCACTTTTGGTAATAAAAAGACAATGAAAATCATAGTTTCTGTGATGTCATGGAGATAGTGTGACAGCCATAAAATCAGATACAAAGAAAAACTTTGTTGCATTATCTCAGGGGTGAATAGACAAGGATAACTCGTAGGCTTTGATGAACCAAGAAATGGACTGTGCTCACAAAAGGCACTACAGAGAAAGGAAAACACTTTTAACAGGGAGACTGAGTGGTGAATTCCCTGATAGAGATGCACTTTTGCTTTGCTTAGGTAAGGATGATCTTATCGTCTTTTAACTTTTGTTTTTTTTTTCTTTTCTTTTGGCAAAAAAAATATGCCAAAGAAAAAGAAGAGCTTTTTCGTGACGTATATTTCGCTCACCTGTCTTAAATCTTTTTCCAGCTTTTTGTAAATTGGGCATGAACTGATGGAAATGATTTAATAACTTGACGTCATGTTACGTATCAACCTTATCATCAAATAAATATTATTGCATTAAAAGATTTCCTTTCTGCATGGAAAAGCGCTGTGATTGACATCCTGGGTTGCGTTGGCTTGGGTTGGCTTGGGTTGGGTTGGGTTGGGTTGGGTTGGGTTGGGAGAGCTAAGCTCCAACTGGTATCCCACGGCAACTGACAACCACCCCATGCATCTTATCTTGTATAAAAAGAAATAAAGAAGCAGATATTGCCTACCATTCTTTCATGCCATCTCAATTATTAGAATCCTTTTGTTCCTTGGGATAACTGAGATTTAGGAAAAAGGGGAATCATAAAGAAATGTATGACGTGCTGCCTCCACTTCCAGGCAATGGAGAGAGCTATTAGCCCCCCAGTCTTATCGCTCAAAAACTAAAAGAAAATTAAAGAGGCACAAATGGTATGTCTAGTGCCTTCTAATCAAAAATAATCCAGGAGATAAATATGTGCTAATTCATGTCGATCTGGATTAGTTTGATAATTAGATTTCGATGAATGGGGAAATTATTGGAGGAAAAAAGGGGGTCAAAAAGGGTCCTCCCTGCTGATGCTGGCAATGCAAATATATATCTATCAAACTGCAGTTCCACTCCGTAGCCCCATATCCTCCTTATCTTGTGAGCTGCCAGGTTCAAATCCCTAAATAATTAAATGAAAATGCACACATCGTGCCCTCTTACTCCCTATACTTGAGTCATCATATTAAAAGAAAATTTGTCATTAGGACTTGACCTATCTGAGGTAGGTACGTAGCAATGTGGAAGATGAGGGCACAGCACATGTATTATAAAAATTACAATTACATGGTTACGTGAGCTAAACAAATCAATGAAATAAATTCAACACAAAATGGAATCAAATTCGTACATATTAAGATTTAAACCTGAAAAATGAAAGATTTCAAAATATCTTCCTTATCTTTGACATGAACCTCGTCGATCATTAGCCATTATACACATTTATTGTAAAAAACTAAATGTGCAAAAACTGCTGTCTACTATTGTAAGCATATTAATCTCAACTCAAACTTAACGTTTTCTGCATAATTTAAGGGAAATAAACAAACATTTCATCTGGGAATATTGCTGGTATACCCGTTGTTAAGTGCAATTCCCACTCTCCACTCAGCTCTGGTTGTAGGGACACCATTCAATCCGGGCTGTGAGCTTGGGATCTAAAAGTGCCAAATTTGTGGAAGCAATGAGACCCAATGGCTTGAATTATTCATTAGACAGAAACAAAACTATAAAATTACTGAACTGAACCAAGACTGCCTTGGCAAGAAATGTTACTTTTTTGCTTGAGGTTGAGGAAAGAAGATTTGAATCATCTCTTGTTACCTTACGAACCTTTTTACTTTTTCACCATGCCTGGAAGTAAAACTGATATGGTGGGCCATTTAGAGCGACTTGATACTCTACTTTCGAGTCACTGGACACTACGGATAGAATCTGAGATTCTCCACTATTTAGATTTAGTAGGCAGTCCTTGCTTGATGTTTGGTTGTAAGGTACTCCTTACAAGGGTAAAAATATTCATTGAGGAATGAAAGAATCAATTCAGAAGGTACTAACTTCAGATTGGCAAAATGTCGCTAGTGGATCGGCTAGGACAAAGAAAGCGTACCCTCTATATAAACGTCGTATTTTATGCCTACCCATCTTTTTGACTTATCCAAATAATAGACAAGATTTTCAAGAATTAGCATTCTAAAGAAACCCAGCAGCAGAATGACGAATGCAAACAAGTTTAATAATTATGGGGTGTGCTTGAGAAATTTGCTCTAATATTTTAGTGCCCATGAATCTCGCCTGTTTTGGCATTAACCATTAAAGTGCGGAACGCTGGGATCTCACGGGGAAATACGAAGCTCAAGATAATGAGCAAATTATAGCAGATGCTGGGAAGTGGTCATGTTGGCATTAGCCATTAGCGATATGAACTGAAGAACAAGGCACCTGGTCCTGTTTGTGGGCCTTGAATGCACCGTTGAAACAAAACCAACAACAAGTCAATAATAATAATAATAATAATAAAGAAAAAAGGAAACTTCTTTAGGTCATTCATTCATTCGCTATCCCTAAGAGCCAATACTAAAAATGCTATATTGAAATGATGGAGTATGAGGAGTGGATTGGCCTGCAATGAGAAAATGTCATTAAACCTTCATTCTTGCTCTTGACTTATCCTATTTTAGACCCCAGAAATTGTTGTTGTTATTAGCAATCGAATAGCACTAGTGAAAGCAAGCTTTGGCACATGAATTTGCATTTGCTGATCAAAATGTATGGATTTGTTGAATGTTATGTTGGCAAGATTCTATTTACAACTTGAAACTTTTTTGTCCTCCATTGTGGATGTATTGCTCATTTTTGGCACTCACGATTAGGTGCCCAATATTGTGTTACCTCCTTGAGGTTGGATATGGGAGAAGGCCAGCTCTTTTTTGTAAAAGAAAAACCGCCTTGCTTTTGCACCAAAATGTTACCATTTGATTCTGCACTATCCCTCCAGCTTGCTTCTCCTTCTTTTTAATAATTAAACATCATGACTTGACTTGAAAGCATTTATCTAAAACGGCAAAACCCAATTACTACAGGTTTATCTTAGTGGTAAATTAATTCAAGGGTTTAAAATTCGTATGTGGTTTTAAATTCAACTTTTTACACAAATGATTTAAAGTCAAGTACTTTTTTTTTTTTGGTGATATACCATGTTAACTATTTGATAATAGGTTTAGAGGTTCAATAAAATTATAAGATTATCATAAATCCAGGTAACTCAAATAATTTACCTTTCAAAAAACCCTAGCTCAAGTCCAAAAAAAGAAAGGGAAAAAGTAAGAGAAAGAAATATTTTTAGGTTTTGACTAAATGATTTTTTTTCAAAAAGAAAACAATATTACAATCCAAATCTCACCCTAATCTTATCAGTTGAGTTAAGCCCAAATCATGTTCTTTTTTTTCTGAGTACCAATAAGACAAAGAGTAGATTCTTGAGCTGTTCATATGAAAAAGGGAATACATGAGAATCTAAGGGTGGTAAGAAGAATATACAACTTTTTTTTTTATTTAAGAATAAAGAATTCAAAATCATACAGATTCTTTGATTTATTAGTTGCTACATGATCTCTTTACTTAAAAAGTATCAAATCCCTCTTCCCCCAATTCCAAAAGCAAATTCAAAATCAACTCTTTTACAAGGTTAAACAAAGATAATTTATTTTTTTTACTGCAAAATTATATGTAACTTTGATATACAGTTAGGACACAAATTCTTAATGGACTTCTAACAGCTATTTAGGAAATTAAATATGAGGCTAGCTAGTGTGTGGATGAAACAACTATCATGCTAGTTTTGTTTCGTTGAGTTAATTCCTTCTACTTCTATTTCTTTTTTTTTTCTTGAGTTCATACATAAAAAAAAGTATAAAAAATGAAAAATATACTAATTTAATTCTTGAAAAATTCAAGAACTAAATTTATCCTTCATCCCTCAACTAAACTGTTTAAAAAAGAAAGAAAGAAAGACAGAAATCAGTGGTGAAAAGGAAGAGGTAAAGTTACTTGTCCAAAAGTGGGAACAGGGTATATCTAGAGAAGGCGACATTGGCCCGGAATCGTTTCTGTCTCTTTTCTTCTCTGTTTTGGCTATGTTAATGGAGTAACCTGACGTTTTCTCTTTCTTATTGAATCCTGTAGATATGTAGTTGAGGATAACAAATGGGCAATAAGACTTAAAGCAAGAGTTTTTAAAATAATAAAATCATACCCAAAAAGTTGCCTCACACCTAATGTAACATCGTATTATTATTCTAAACACTTGATTACATAACTTTTTAAAAGTATCCCATTCCCATAGATTGTAAAAGAAAAAAGTTGGCAAAGATCATCATCATGATCATCATGATTATTATAAAATATAGACATTTCATTAATTAAACATCAACAGAAAAGTAATTACAGAATACAGATTAAGATATGAGAGAGATGGGGAGAGAAAGATTCCAGGGTGTTGACTGATGAGGGACAGAATGGACACGAACATTGGACTCCTGATGAGAGGGGACATTAAAAAACATTAATTTAAAATCAAAGTGCGCAAGTAAAGGGCTGGAAATTTATTTTGCGTGGCTCCGGTAGATGTGTTCCATGCAAACTCAAACTACACGTGGCGTAGACATATCCAAGTGGACCTTCTTTTTGTGGCGCCTCCCACACTTGAATATGCATATACTTTAAACTTTGTTGGAAGCGTCATGATCCGCAGTGATTCCCTTAATATTTTGAGCTTCAACAACTCCTCCATTGTTGTTTGTCTCGTTTGGCTGAGGAGCCACAGCGTTCACTTCTGAGCACACCATGGTGCCTAGTTTGACAACGTCAACGATGTGCTCTGATAGTTGGTGAAGCTTTGGATCTTCCACCATTTTCTTGGGGTGGTTTTTGTAGATTGCATAAAGTATCATTTGAAGAATTCCAAAGATGAAGCCAAGTACATTTGGAACCTGTTGAGATGTCGACCCCAAAAGAAAAAGTTATTAATTAATAGTAAAAGAAAGGAAAAGTTAAACGTGATGATGTCATAGATATTCATGAAGAAAAGAGAATTTTTAAATTAATTGATAGTGAGTTCAAAAGCTTTATTGCATGAATGAGATAACGTACGGCAATGTTCATATCCTTCAACAGAAGGCCATAGAAGAACCACATCACAGCCCCTAAGGTGAGGAACACTGACAAAGTAAATGGCATGTATTCAACGCTCTTGGTTTTTATGACTTTTCTCTGCAGAAGAATTGAAAATTAATACTGTTAAGCTGACTTTTAATTTGAATGAATGGTGTAAAAGGGTATGAATAGATTCTATTTCTTTAAATTAATAAAGTGGTTTTAATATCCTCACCAAAATGCAAAGAGGTGCAACGAACACACTCAAAGCGAATGCCATGCATATATATCCAAGAACATGGAGGCGGGTCAAGGGGTTTTGTAGGAAGAAAGTTGAGAGAAAGATAACTCCGAACCCGAAAATATTGAACAGAAGGATAAGCTTCACAGTCATGACCTGAAATTCCCCCATGTTTGGATATCGAATTAGAATATTGAACTTAAAAGAGGAGCAATAAATCATAAGAAAGTAAGAGAGGGCGAAAGTAAAGCTTTTCTGGGATATACCTTTTCCTTCTTGGGAGCATAGTAAAAGTAAGCAACAATGTAAAAAGTCTGAATGAAGCAGCAGAAAGTGTTGATGGTTATGAGAAGCACAGCATCCTTCTTAAGTAGTGCGTAGTAAATCCAAAGCATCGCACTGAAGAGAGACACCACGTAAGGAATTGATTGGAACCCTTCGGATGTTCTCTTCGTGTATATTTGGTAAAACGTTGGCCTGGAAAGAGGGATCACCGTCCATTAATAAGAGAAATTAAGGCAGAGTACACTCACCAGAAGAATACGGAAAAGGAAAAAAAATATATAGATGACGAGGGACTTACAAAGGAGCAAGGGAAACCAAAAATGAAACGACGTTGCCTAAAACAAACAACAAGAAAAAGAACACAGGGTATTAGCACAGTGAGAAAGAAATGCTCATTGAACCCTCATAGAAGTGCACATAAAATCTAATATTTCCTAGAGGAAGAAGAAACATCAATATTTCTATACCTAGAACGCCAAAAACGAAAGTCCAAGGCAGGTGAAGAGCCATCTCTATTGCTATTAGATGTTAAAGTAATCGTTTCCTCTCTTTCTCTCTCAATCTCTCTCTCTCTCAAAAGAAGTGTGTGTTGTCAAGTGAGGCTCTTGCTATCTATTTACTCTCACTCCCACGAGTTACGAAGCCTCTCCGGGGGTCGATATTTATAGCGATGGAAGGGGGCGGAAAGAAATGTGTGGTCAAGTTGCACGTAAGAAATTAAAATGCGGGTAAGATGAATTATAATTTTATGGGTTTTCTTTCCGGGGTTGTTCCTCACTAGTGAACTTTTACATTTACAGAATGCTTATAGCTTTTTCTATAACCCCAACCCTCCGGCCCCTTAGTGCCTGTTTATCCGAAATAGGGCGGTTGCCCTTGAATGCAAGCACCCACTCTCCACCCAAGCCCTGCTTGACAGTACCATTCCTAGTACATACACAAAATCCCGAGGGTCCCACCATGGCTCTTTATGATGTGTCACCCACCAAGTGGTTTAAGGTTTACAACTCATACTCGATTGGGTCACAATATATTTGGTTGGGGAGCTTGCAATGGGTTTTTTCTTTTTTTTTTTTTTTTAAATCGGGGTAATACTTCCTCTCCTTATTCCCTCACCTCTCCAACTTGGATATGTTTCCATAACTACTCGATCAGCTTTTGGTTCCCATTGAAATGATTTTGACAAATACCCCACTTTGTAAAAAAATTGCTAACAGGCCCCACTAAATTGATAGATCCAGGACACCCAAGTACGATGTGCTTAATGATTTACATGGCTAATAATCATAAAATATTTCATTGTTCACATTTAATGACATGTAAACAAAAATAGCTAGAAGATGTATACGGAAGTAATACTGCGAACCAAGACTTGCCATGTTATGTACCGTTTTCAATCTTACAATTGAATTCTAGAAAATGATTCTATAATATTAATTGTTTTCACCCTCAGTCTATAAGGATAAAATCAATGAAACTCATTTGTCAATTATACTAGCAAAAGTCGATAATATGCCCATTATCAACGCTCTAGGTAATTATATATGCACTATATTTTGGCTCATGAATTGTCTCCTTTGTTTGTATTGTGTATAGTTGGTTTCTTTTTCTAATGTAATAATTGTATTCCTTGTAGCAAGTTAGTCTTTCTCCTTGGATTGGCTAATTGAATTAAAATTCATCGTTTTTGTCAAGTTAAAAATTTTATAGTATCATTTTTCTCTTATATTGGCTAATTAATTATCATACTCATGAAGAAATGCTTAAAACAAATTAGTTGATGATGATGATGATGATCCTTGGATGGATATCGTACATTGATTCATGAGAATCTAACCCACTTGCCCCATCTGATCAGTTGTAGGGGGCGTCAGGAGGGATGAAATACTTACTCTGAAACCCCGCACTAAAAGAGCTTCTTCTTTTTTCTTTTTTTTTTTTTGTTTTTGTTTTCTGAGGTGTAATCGCACCTGAGGACGGTGAATTACCATTAAGGATCTTAACTCGTTTGGCATGAAAGAAGGCCATCAACGGTGCAGAATCGGGCCGATGGAGGAGATGCTGTTCTACCAAAACAAGAAACAACTTTTTTTTTTCCCTCGCGAGTTGACCCCATGGCCAGAGAAGCAGTCGCCATGCTGCCCGAAAAGCGGATCCTGTTTTGGAATCACGTGTAACTCGCGTGTGCAGATGGAGTATCCTTCCTTGTTCATATCAATTCAAGAAATTGCTGGTTAACACCTAACAAAGCACACATTATCCAAAACATCATGCATACAACATTACGACCCACTAAAAAAAAGATTAAATAAAGTGGGGGGTGGGGGGGGAGGGATGAAACATCCATTATTTTATTTGAACTTGAAAAATTCAGTACGTAAAAAATTTTGGACAAGAAAAGAAAAGAATCTGAGTGCCAGGAACTGTGGCTGTGGCACCATGCATGCAGCAGCGGCCTTTATTTAGGTGTAGCTAACTATGGTTAGCTCGCATTTGATTAATTAATATATGAAATAAGAATACGTATATCCTTATGATTGGCAAAATTATCAGCAAATCAAAGCATTAAGCAACTTGGAAAGGCCCACCTGAGGCAGTTAAGTAAAGCCTGCCTGCATGGTCCCAAGAATTGGGCAGGGCAGACATGGGATAAGGATTTGCTTCCAGTACCCTATTTGTAAGGTTAGAACTTAGAAAGTTGAACACCCCACCCACCAAAAGAAAAAGCAGATAAGTTCTTTGGGCTGTATACTCTACAGAAGTGCGATAGTAAGTGCTTAAATAATTTTAAATTGAATAGGTGTGGCATTCCATATCCCAAATTGGAAAGCATATATAGGCAAAAGCATCGAGGGATCATATATAGTGGGGAAAAAGTCGAGTTGATAATGGTCCGTTTATTTAAACATAACTCCACTAGTAATATACTAATATCTTTTGTCAACAACAAAAACTTGGTTTAAATAATAATAACATTTAATGTGTTTTAATGTCCTTTTTTCATCAAAATTTGGAAAATTTCGTCATCATTAAGGGTAGTTGAGACAAGTGTATTTGCCAGTTAAGAAAAAAAACGTGTATTTTCTAATTAAGAATGTGACAGTAGTCCTGGTAGGAATATTTGATATATGGCTGTAGATATTTGTCATTTATTTTTTGTTTAATTAGCAGAGTATCCGACCGAGCCACTCATATCCAAAAAGGTGAATAATTAAACAGGTCATTGGGAATCCTAATCTATTGCAATAAATCCCTTAAATCTACTATAAATCTATTACTATTTATAACAAATTGGATTATTTTGTATATTTAAAAGCCATCAATGCAATTATTTTCTTGGCTGAGAGAGGAAAAAAACAGTTTCCTGATATATATATTTTTATCTTAATTATTCTTCTCCTACGAGAAAGAAATTATGGGTAGTTTGTTTGACTAATTTATTGCAACTATTTTTGCAAAAGAATTGTTGGGTATGAGTCGTATGATCGACTACATGGAAAATTTGGCTTCGGCCGAAATGTTGGGAAATGGTTGGGGTCGATGGCACCCCTACCAGACAAACCATGAACCTAACATGCATTTATTTATGCAAAGGAGCTGGGGTCTGTTTACTACACAAAAACCCTTCTATATATGTAGGTGATAATTAAATTATCATATACCTTTATAGTGAGAGTGACTTGTTTGATAATGACATAATATTTAAAAAAAAATTCTAAACTATTCATAAAAATTCAAATAAGTCTTTATATTTTTATTATATTTAATTCAATTTTTTTGTTTTTATTTTTAATCAAGTATGTCTTTATATTTTTATTTTAAGTGAAACAAACTCTTAAAATTAATAATTGACTTAATTAAAATATATTTTATTCTTTTATACCACGTGACGTTGACGTAACATATTAAATTATCATAACTGATAATGATGTGACATGTTAATATAATATAAAAATATTATCATATACATGTCAAGAGCATAATTGAGCACAAAATTGAAAAACCAACATATCACCCTAGGTAGGACAAGTTGAAGAAAAATATGAAACTATCTATTCATTGCAGGCTGGGTCATAATAGTGATCGCGGATTTGAGGTAATTGAAGGCAATGACTATCATAAAGTAAATTTCAATGAGATGAGCACATATAGGGAATGGGAGCTTGTTGGAATTCCATGCCCTCATGCTATTTGTGTTATGTATCATGACAACAATAAGCCAAAAGATTACGTTTCACAATCAGTACTGTAAAGAAAATTATATCCTTGTATTACGCCCATGTAACAGTCTGTGAAAGGAAAAAAGTTTTGGTCAAAGGATAACGATTCAATACAACCTCCGTATATAAGAGTAATGTCAAGGGGATAAAAAAAAAAAGGAACCAAAGATAATATGAGCCAACAAAGATGAAATTTCAACATTGACGGCTTTGCTAAAGGCAAATCAGGGTTTGCTGGTTGTGGTGGCGTTTTTAGGAATTCAAACGGATTTGTTATTGGGGTTTTTTTCGGCCTCCTTGGTTGTCAAGGGTCTAACGTTGCTAAGCTTATAGCCATCCTTTATGCTTTGCGCCACTTTGCCTCATCTCCTTATAATTCAAATCTATTTAACAGGCTCTCTTTAAGTAACAATTATTACCTTTTGTAATTATTTTCACTATCAATGAAATCTTTCATTGACAGAACCAAAAAAAGAAAAATGAAGATGAAAATTAGAATGTATATAGAAAGAGGCTTGAAAATGAAATAAAAGATATTGTGATTAAACATGCTATAACAAGGAAGCTTATCTAAACAAAGAACAATGAGCCAAATAGAACAAGTAAATGCAAAAATTAATGTGATGATTAATTTTTTTGGTTGATAATGAACAAATTAAGGAATGTAAAAATGATAAATGTGGGTATAATATGCAAAAAAAAGTTTCTAAATTATTCAAAAAAAATTAAATAAATTTTTATGCTTTTATTACGTTCAATCAACTCTTTATATTTTTATTTTGAGCTAAATAAGTTTTCATATTTTTATTTTGAACCAAATAAACTTTTTATGACTAATGATTAACTTAGTCATTTTATGGCGCATGATACTGACATGACATGCTAACATATTATAATTAATGATAATATGATATGTAAACATATTATAATTGATGATAACATGATATGTTAATTTGACATGATAACATGATCATATGATATTTTTCATTCTCTATATTAATACCATATCAGTATCATGTTAATATAAAATGACAAGTGATATTTTAACTAATGGTAATTAATCAATTATTAATTATAAAAATTTATTTGACCAAAAATAAAAATATATAAATTTAATTGAACCTAATAAAAGAATAAAACTTTATTTAAATTTTTTTAAATAATTTAAAAACCTATTTAAGTATTATGTCGATATTATCTATTTCTTAATTTCGAACCACACTTTTTAAATAGAAAGATTATACATCAGTCAATAAATCAAAAGCTCAAGTGCTTTTATATATAAATATATTTATTTAATTGAATCTTATAATTTGTTGCGTACTAAAAATAAATGAAAACAAGATATAATATACTAACATGATTATTATTATTTAGCTCCCTCTAGCATGAGTTAGGCTTACAAGTTGTTACAAAGATAATTAAACATCAGAAAATAAAAGCATTAAGTGTTCACATATACATAAATATTATATATCACAGTAGAAGGAGAGAGAGAGAGAACTAAATGTGATACTGCATGTGAATAGAGGAGAGGGGTTAAGGTACAAATCCATCAAGCTTCACATTTTCCTAGCAGCAGGTTTGGGTTAGCAAACTCCAGGATTTTCTCCCTTTGATCGTGTTCATTTTGTACCTTACAGCTCCCAATACTTTTATCATGGGCGACGTCGGGCTCTGAACTCATTTCCTGCACCTCAGAATTCATAACTGTGCTCAGTTTGGTAACATCGATGCTATGTTCTGGTACCTCTACCTCCTTGGTTACCACCTTGGAGTTCCTATATATTGCATACAGCACCATCTGTAGCAACCCAAAGATGAAACCCAGAACATTTGGAATCTGTCAAAATAAGAAATTCGTAATTTAAATCAGTAATATAGATTAATTTCTGATTAATCTATAATATGTATAAAAGTATAGATGTCAAAAAAAAATTTAATTGAAAAAAACTGATATTTTAACTTATTGTATTAAAAATTTTCCATACGTTGAAATTCTTTTTATTAACAAAAACAGACATTTTTACTTATTATACTTTTAAATTGTCATATTAAATTATATTTTAAATCATTTTTATTATTATAAAGATTAAATAATAAATTTATCCAACATATAAATAAAAGTGTTAATCCATTCAATGGCTTTCAATTAAATGCTATATTTGTTAACAAAATTCTAATCTCATTTAATTATCTAAGTAATTTACAATTTTACTCATTCTTAGAAGTTGAAATCTTTTTTTTTTTTTTGAAAGATTAGAAGTTGAAGTTGAAATCCTAAAAGCTTTTTATTAAGTATTTAATAATTTCATGATTATAAATAATACTTCATCCAAAACTATGAAACATTGTACGGATTAGTGAGTTTTATATTATGATCATTTCTTATTTTGCAAATTTATTTTTTCAATGGTGATTATGTTTTTCCTTATTTAGTTATGCAAGTGGATTATTAATTTCAAATTTAAAATTATTATTCTTTGTGCTCTATAGACTCATAGTGCTATCATTCAACAAAAAGTTTGTCCACCTCGTAAAAAATTTATCATTTTCTATCAGCTTAATAATTAATATTTATGTGTTTTTTATAGATAATAAATTTTTAAATTTTAATGTAATTTTTTTGTACATATGAATATAACTAATTACGCGTCAAATCACATGTAAGGCATGTGACACAAAAGCTATTACTATTAAATAAATTTCGATTAACTTTTATGCGTAACTCTTGTCAATTTGATGCTATGTCATCTGCCTAATAGAAACCTATGCTAGGGGATTTTTGTCATAGTTCATTAGTATTTCAGTGGATCGTCACTGACCGTAATATACAAGTCTTTAAGGAATATGCCATAAAGAAGCCACGTAATGGCACTTAGGGTGAGGAAAAATGATAAATAAAACGGCATGAACTCCACACTTTTGGTACGTATAACCTGCCTCTGCAAAACATACATGTAAAAAAGTTATAACAATATTTTAATCCAAGTAACAATGTTTAGGAAGCGGGAGTCACGTAACTTTGGAAAGAAATCAATTAAAATAAGGGGGGAAAGCGTGAAAAAGTAACAACATATATAGTAAGTAAAAAGTAGATTTTTTATTTTTTGGGGGGTTGCTTATATGCTTACGATGATGCTTAAAGGTGCTGCAAATACACTTGTAGCAAAGGCGACACAGATCCATCCAAGGACTTGGGCTCGGTTCGATCCTTTTGCTAAAAAGCGGGAAACAAGAAGAATGGAACAGAATCCCACAAAGTTCATCAACAGAAGTATCCTCAACGTGAACATCTGTGGTTCATTTACAAATTAATGCAAAGAGTTTATTATAACTTTAAGGTGAAAATGGAAAGACGAAAAAGAACCAAGGGTAAAGAGAGGGAGAGAAAGAGAGAATACCCTGGCTTGCTTTGGTGCATAAGCAATATAGATAGCAATGTAAGCGGTCTCTACGAAACAACCGAAGGAATTAATAGTAACAAGAAGGAAAGCTCCCGACTTGACGAAGGCATAGTACATCCAAAGCATCGCACTGAAGAGTGCAACCACATATGGAACTGATTGGAAACCTTCCGTTGATTTCTTCTTACAAACTCGGATAAAAGTAGGTCTGAAATTGATTACATGGACGAGTCCTTCAGTGTCAGTTCTTTGTCTTGACTATGGTATATATTATTGCTTAAAAAAAATAATCAAGTAAACCATGAAAGCTCAAATTACTTCAACACACTTACAGTGGAGCTAGGAAAACCACGAAGGAGGAAATGTTACCTACATCATTAATCAGAACAGAGACAATGATCAGCTCTTTCTAGTATTTCTCCTCCTAAATTAACTGAGAACATTAAACTTTATCACGGAGCGAGTTTAATTGAAACATTTCCAAGTGGAAGAAGATAATTAAAGAGGTAGGTCTAAGTATGATCAACTCTATTATAAGCTCTGCACAAATTAGTTATGTACCTAGGAGACCAGAGATGAAAACCCATGGATTATCAGTAGCAAAAACGCCCATCTCTTCGGATCTCTCTATCTGTCTCTCTCTCCCAAAGGGGTGATCAAGGTAAAAACCGTGCTGCAAGGAAAAGCCCTAGATTTCTCTCACACTCAAGCTGGGATGCAAAAGCCAGAACAGGGTCGTGATTTATATAGGGAAGGCGATACGCTGCTGTTGCATGAAATGTGAATAATTAAAAATATGTACTATATACTTTGGTTTGTGGGGTCGTAGGATAGAAATTTACGCACCCACCATGCCAACGCAGCACACTAAGCAGTCAGGTAAATTAGTATTCTGCCAGACTTGCGTTGCATGCCCAAACACCCAATTTCACCCATATCACTTTCTCTAAGTATTTTTTTAGTATCAAATATTGCGGCTCCTCATCAGTTCTAACAGCCCATTTGTCACGTACAACCGGCAAAACCCCCAACACAAATCTCCCCACTCAAAGGACCTTTAAATGTACGGAATCTCCATGCTTCCACATGAACTTAGACAGGTGTAGCCTGAGGCAGTTCTGCACTATTCCATTCACTGATTTGTCATAGAAAATTCTTTCTCCTGGGCTTTCATTAACTTCGCTTTTTCGGTGGTGGTGAAGTGCAAAATGTTAACTTGCTATTGCGTTCTATCTCATATCTTTTGACTGTCACGCGTGAACAGGGGATTCAAAGTCAGCTTCTCATCGTTCCAAGTGCCGGGTCTTCATTTAGTGACAGTTATATGTATCTACCATGACATAAGAAAACTTCAGAATCCTTCTCCCACGATTCTGCCTTCCTTCTTTATTGTCCATTTCTTTGGCGCTGTTCTGACGAATAGGATATCGAAAGCCCAAAAAAGAACCGAATATTATATGATCTTGAAGAATTCCTTTATGTAAAGATAGGCTTCTAAGTGGAAGGTGGGGTGTTAAAATATACTAGACCACCTGAAATGATAAGATTTACTAAATAATGTATATCCCCCATGATTCGAATAATTAAGATTACCTTATGATTGGTATGACCACGATCACTATTTAAAACAATTTTTAGAATTCAGATATTTCCAAACCTGGCTCAGGTGGGAACTTGCCCGCTGCACGTGTGATGTAAATGCGGTACGAGGTTAGTCACTGTCATGAACATATAATTTGAGAACGAAAGCTGTCCGTAACCTGGCACTTGCAGAACCTTGCATGATTAAAGGGGACATAAATTTTTCAAGCTGTTAAAAGCTCTAATGCTTTAATTAGTTTTTTGCGGCTAGATTGAACACTGTTTCAACGGGCAGGAATGTTTGGGAGCCTTAGCCCTTTAAATGTGTTATTCTTGCGGCTATGGTTGAAGATTAAATCTTTTGGTTGCGATTGGAACATGTGTTTCAAATTACAATTAAAATTTAAAAGGTCTCTTTTTGCTTCTGCAACAATAATTCATCTATTCTATAATTAAGTTTTCTTTATATCAATGTTGATCACTCCAGCTTTAATTGGACTCCATGATAGGTAGATAGATAATGAAAACAATTGGTCCAATGATCCTTATAATGTCCTTTGTTGGATGGTGGTATATTACCTGACTTGGATTATTAACTTTGATTTTGCTTTGACCGTACAAAACCTTTTTCCTAACCGTGTTTAGTCAAATGCGTGACTTCAATATCAATCAATGCATTCTTTGGTTCTAAAATTTCTGGTCCGGTAAGTCAAGTAATCAATCATTGACAAATCATTTTGTTTTTAATGGGTAACGTTGAATTCTTGACACAGTTCCATGCTAACATGTCAATATAAGCCATCTGGATATGGGGATTCAATCTTGGGGAAAGAAGAATGTATAGAAAAAATCATGTGAGAAAAGTTAAAGAGGTCTAGCAGATGATCACCTGACATTTTGAAATCCAATTTTCTGAATGAAGAGCAAAGTCTCAGCTTATTGTCGTCTTATAGATGGAAGGCCCAAAAGGAGAATAAAGTCTAACAAAAACCTACTTTACCTAACTCCTGAAAATCGTAATAGCTAGTAGTAGTTGAAAGGCCTTTTGACTAAATTAACATTCTGGTGCATAGATTGGGACCTCTAATTAATCTTAATATATCCCTAACCAAAATTTATTGATTAGATTAGACTCCATTGTGTTTTGTAGTTCTTCAATAAGTGTTCAATATACTCTTAAGCATGGCCCCATACAACAATTTGCATTGTAGGGATAGGGGGTTGTAGCAGACAGCTGCAGCGTTTGCCAATCACCAAAGCATTTGGTAATAACTTTGTAAACGATCGAAGCCGACTTTCATGTCCTAAGTTTGTTTGAAAGTGTCAAGTGGCACCTCAAGGCTCAAACTCACAAATTTTAAATTATTTTTTTGATAGACCTGAAGGTACACGGTACACTTTTTGAAAGTTGAAGGTACACTTACTATTACTGGAAGATCTCTACAGGACAGATAATTTGAAAACAATTTTCTTTTTAATCTAATCATGAAGATCTCCAGGGTATAAGTTTGTTAAATAGCTTTTATTTTAGAGTAAGGCCCAATGTAATTGATTATAAAAGAAATAAACACACATACCTGAATTTGATTTTGTATTTTTCTTTTTTGAATAACAATAGTTTTCATTCATTAGAAAACAGAGGAAGCATGCACCAGGTATGATGCAGCACTTCCCTCTAATGATTTATGTCAGCACGGATCACTTTCCAGGAAAATCAACGAGCATACAGGCAGTCCACACTTTGACATTCCCCTGTTAACACTCATTGCAGCCCAAAACAATAACAATAATCCACAGTACAGCCCTACAGATTCACATGGTATGGTGGGGAATCCCGACGGAGTAGGTTGGACAGATTCTTGGTACGTCGGAGTGGATGTACTTCTATAAGACAGGTCTAAAGAGATATTGCTCTCCAGCCATTGTCCCATCTCGCTATCGTCCGAAATGGTGGATTGGGGTCATGTCCCTTGGAATTCTTGGACTGTTGGCCACACGATAAAGAGTCTAGAAAGGAAATAAGTGGGCAATGGTCCAAGGAAATCCATCGATTAGGAAGGTAGGGTGGATTATAGATTGAGAACTAAGCTTGGTAAGCTCAAAAAAAAGTGGAACAAGAACATATTCGGCAATGTGGATGAACAGTTGGCAGCCTTGGAGGAAAAGGTATAAGACTAGATAGAATGGGGGATTTTAAGGACTTAATCAAAGCTGAAATTAAGTGGAGAAATGTGGACAGTGAAGACAAAAATCAAGAGTTAGATGGATATCGAAGGGAGATCAAAACACAAAGTTCTTCCATAACAAGGTCAAAACAAGGGCAAATAGAAATCACATAGAAGGCAATTTTTGGAATAAGAATTGAATTTTCAATTTGAAAGAGGTGAAAAAGTCTATGGCGGAACATTTTACGCTATTATTCTCAAGTGTTAATAAGACTAGATCCACCATAGGAGATGATACTGTCAAAACAATTGAATCCACACGATGATTCTTTCCTGAGAAAACCTTATCTATATATGGAAGAACTAAAGGAGGCAATTTGAGAGTGTGGGGGATCTAAACCTCCAGGTTCGGATGACTATAACTTCAACTTCTATCATAACATTTTAGGTTATTATTCTCAAGTGTTAATTTTTTTTTAAATCCTCTCAACTATCAAATGGGACACACTAAAATTATTCGTCATTTTATAGAATTTTCTTGAGAAAATATTATTACAAATTTTCATAAAATTTCTATCATTGAGAAACTGTAAAACAATCATTTTTTATTCCTTTATTGATTTATTTACTTAACAAATTAACCAATATTATTTATTTTAATTAAAAATATAATGAAAATAAATAAAACCAAAAAATATTATAGTTCACAAATCAAAAACACCCTTTTTTTTAAATTGGGTTTGAGTTGAACTTTGAATGAACACGAAGAGGGGAGGAATAGTAAAAGTACGCTCATGTGTTTTTGAATTGTTTGTGAGAAAATTTTGGAACAATATGTTGTAGGATTGTTATTATGAGATGGAAATGAAGTCAACCGAATTTAATTTATGAGCTTGAAGATTACTCGGCCTATTGAATAGGAGAAGTCTCTCTCTAGCTGGCTTTTGATAGTCCATTTGGCCCATTTTCATGGGCCAACAAGAATAGAATAAACAAGGGCATAGGAAAATTACCAATCTGTTGCTGGGCAGATGTCAAATGAAGACCCCTTTGGAGACAAATTTCATATATAGTATAGATATAAGATTAAAATTCAATAGCAATCCTAAAAATCATGTCTTAATAATTGAAGTCCACTTTTTACAAATTTCAAAAATAATCTATTAATCATATATATATATATATATATATATATATATAGTCCAATTCGTATAGAAATTTTTAGAAAGAAATTAAAGAGGGTAATGTGTGCCATGTTATTTCATATATAGTAATTTGTTTATTTGTCTTGCATTAAATGCGTGATTAGGCCTTTATATCAAGGTTCTCCATCATCCATATAAGCACCAGTAAAGACGTCAAAGCCAGGACCCCAAGCACTTTCCTCGGTTCCTTCTGTCCTTAGATCGCTTTCAACAGTAAACGGGAATGCAAATGAAACAGCATCGATCAGTTTAAAAAAGAAGCCTTAAACACAGGAGTCCAAGCATTTGAGTGGTTGCTCCCGTCTTACTTGGCTTTAATTACAATTATACTTAATTATATAGCATACTACAAAAGCAATGTAAAAGGCAAATCAAACAGAACACTGTCCGGGTTCAGCCTGATTGGTGCTTTCGATGCTTTTATGACTATGTTGTAACTGATGATCATGCGGATTTTCATCTCTACCCACTTCAACATCACCGGAAACTTGCAGCGAGGAGTCCGTATTATTGGAAGCTTTTATGGGTGCTAAGTTCTTTCCGTTCGCAACTTGTACTGGTAATTGCTTCTGCTCATTCTCGATGTTCTTGTACTTTTTGTAAACTACGAATAGTACCATTTGAATCATCCCTAAAACAACTCCCATTATGTTTGGGAGCTGAGGTTATTAACCCACAACAAGAAAAGAAAAAGAATCAGAGAAAAAGGTAAAAATATATATTATTCCGGAGTTAAAAGTCATCCTTTCAGGTTCTTACAGATATATAGAAGTCCTTTAGAAGTACGCCATAGATCAACCACATAATGGCACTCAAGGTGAGGAACAATGATAAAGCGAATGGCATGAACTCCACGCTTTTGGTGCGGATGACCAACCTCTATGGAAATTAATTACAAGTAAGAAAATAGTAATGAGGCAGAGGTAGAGTATAATAATAGTTCTAAAGAGAAAACAATAAAAAAGAAAAAGGAAAGATAAAGAATCTGACCATTATGCTCAAAGGCGCTGCAAAAACGCCGGCTGATGATACTACACAAAACCATCCAACAATATGGATCCGGCTTGGTCCTTTGGAAAAAAAATGCGTAAGAAGGATGATCAAGAGAAGGCCCCCAAAATTGAACAGAAGCAGCAGCTTCATAGTCAAAATCTGCAATCTCCCAGCACTGTAAATCTTCATTACGATATTCAAACAGGCGATTACGTAAATCGCAGGAAGAACATTATAATTAGTACGTAACGTACCCTAGCTTTCTTTGGTGCGTAAATGATGAAGACAACGGTGTAGATAGTTTCCACAAAGCAACCAAAGGAATTGATGGTCATGAGAAGGAAAGCATTGGATTTTAGTGTGGCGTAGTATATCCAAAGCACAGCGCTCACTAGTGCAACGACGTAAGGAATTGATTGAAACCCTTCAGTCGATTTCTTTCTATAAACCCGAAGAAATGTAGGCCTGCAATTTATTAGATCGTCCAATTCTCTTGTTAATTTCACTGAGTAGCAAGCCGAAACATTAAAATGCCTATATATAAAAAGTTTAATACACATTAATGGAAAAAAAAAATGAAGAACAGAGAACACTTACAGAGGCGCAAGGTACACCATGAAAGAGAGGATGTTACCTAAAATAAATATTCATAATTGTTATTGTGATCGGGTTCAGAAGCAGGAAATAAAATGAACAAGAAAATTAAGATTAGATTTTCCTTACATAATGAAATAAACATAATGTACATTCTAAATTTCTACCATAACCATACAGCTACATGAACAATGACATGTAAAAGATGCAGATTAGACATGAACACCAGACTTTTCACAGGACAAAGAAAGAAAGAAGCAACTAAGGTTGTCTAGGTTTTTAAGCTCTTAAGTGACATTCTTCTTTTCTGCTTTTTACTCCATTTTTAGTTCTCCTTTAGCGTTTGCCTTGCCATGGTAGATGGCACCAAATTAATGAATGCACCAACCACCGCGATAGCAGTAAACAAGAAAATGCTTGTGATATAAGAAAGAATTTGTGCAACCATCAGTAAGGATGAAAATGGTACTTGCTTATGCAATTTTATACCTAGAACGCCGGAGACAATTATCCATGGATGGTAAGCCATCTCTTCAGCTCTGATCTCTTTCTCTGATAGAAGGTATTAGAAAGAAATAATGTAGAAGCAGGTAAAACGTAATCCTAGCTTCCTCTCATCCAAATTCTTTTTTACAGACAGAGGCACATTTAGCGTGATATATTAATAGAGAGATATATAAGATGGGACAAGAGAGGGCCTATTGCTTAGTTTGTTAAAAGGAAACTGCAAGAGCTAATTCAAACTCTTCGTTTAGTTTTCAATTTAATACTAATTCACTTTGTGCTTTGGAAAGTAAAGAGTACAAAATACTTTTTGGATAAATGGATTTATTTTTGAACACTTGAATTAAAATATTTAAAAAATTGATTTTTATGTATTTCTATATGGAACTATAACATTTGAATTGATGGTATTTTTAATTAATCTTTCATTTTCAATCAAATATGGTTTCATTGTCTAGTTATACTACAACCTAACGGAACAAAGCTTACTTTTGTTCTAAAAAGGAAAGAAAGAGTCCTACTTAATTACAAGGATTTCTACATATATATAAGACAAAAATCACACCCCCAATTGCGGAAACCTTAGAATCCATATGCAGAAACACATCCCGACGGCCTTCATTCCTATGGGCTTGAGTTTTTTAAAGTTAGAATCCATTAACTGATGGGTCAGATGTGACAGATCAGGGTATACAAAATGTGAACTAATTTTGGGTTAGTTTCTTTTGTGGCCCAGAAAGAATATTATCTGCAAGAGGAATAATGTGGATTATTATAATTGCTTAATACATCAAGCATCTGTTATCCAAGAAAAGCAATATATGCCTTAATAATATCGATACTTGAAGTTTGAACCGCTAGCTGCATCTATATTTCAGACAAGCTTATCCTAGAGAAATATCAGTTCTTGGAGATCCAGGCCGGCCACATGCGACCAAATCCTGTTGCGTATCATGGCAAGTAATTCTGCAATTTCAGGCAAAAAATTAGAGGCTTAGATGTTAGTGGGGATTTTATGCTTGACACTGAGTAATCTGTTTTGCCAATCCTGGTATCTGTTCTCACAGGACTGATCGGCACTTTCTAAGCTTACAAGAACAAACTGTTTCTATTTGTCTGTAAGAATTAAGTACACGCCCCATGGCCATTTTGGATGGAAAATGGTATAATCCTTTCCTTTGCACAGATTGCTCACCACTGTTGGTGACATCAAAGTGATAATTAACCTTAATTTCTTTCCAGTTTTTTCAACGCCTAATTTTATTGCATCAGTATGAGTTATGACGCGGGCTGCTTATTTCTGACTGTGTATTCAACGGTAAGATCATTGCAATTTCCATAGAAAAATGGTAATTAATTAGGTCAATGAATCCAAAGATCCGGCTCCTTCCCTTTTGTAAATTTAATTGGAGAGACTGATTTATGTCAAATTTGAATTGTAACACTTGATCCATTTCTAAACATATTCTCGTTAAACCATTTCACGTTAGAGAACAAACGTCGTTAGGCATTGTACTTCCTCTTTTTATTTTCTCAACAATCTCTATAGTCTCTATGGCTTTCCCTGTCTAATAGCCATGTTTCAGAAAAATTAAAGTTTCTCGGCTCTGTTCTGCAACTCTTTCTTTGAGCTTAAATGGAGCTTAACCAATCCTCTTACTTATGTTTAATCTAATACATCTTTTTCCTTGGAAAAACCCGGAATATCGCTAGGAAAAGACAACTTTGAACTTGAAAACTTCCTCCTTTCAAGCATAGAATTTAAGCCAGTTATGTTCTTGAGTTCTTCCAACTTCCTATAACTCAAAAGCGCTTTGAGACCTTAATTAAAATGCCTAATCTCAATAGGATGAAATACCATTGGCCAAAATGAAAAAAAGGGGTGATTTACACATTAGCCATTTCTTTCAATATCAATTTTTAGGACCCAACGTACAGTTACAATTTACATTAAGAGGTAGCAAACTGGGAAAAACCCAATGGAGATGAAATCAAACTCACTTAGTTCTGATCAGTAAGTAAATTTGAGTTGTTAATCTACTTGGCAAGCAAATAACAAAATGCGCTCTAAGTGTCTAAATACAAGATCTTTTTGTTTCTTATAAATCAGAAAGACTTTTGAACTTTCGCACTAAAGAGAGCCGCTTTCAACTAAACTGAAAACTTTTAGCCTTGAATAAGATACGAATTTTGTTCCTTAAATCAGATGCCAAAGTGGAATTAAAACCAATATCTTGTGAACCGAAGCCACAAAAGAAAGGATTCAGTTCCAATCCTGATGGCTTTCGTTTTTGTCATTAACGACAGGAGGGTGGAAAGGTGCACATAAACCTGAAATAGTGAACAGATTCTCCTGGTATTCAGTTTCTCATATTGGGGTTTAACGGTGTAATGGGTTCAGCCGTTAGGAACCCTTTTTGACATGATTATATTATGCACTAAATTCAGTGACTTTTTTAAATATTATGTACTAAATTTACAAAAAAGAGGAGGCAGATCCTAAACCTTAACCCTTTTTCTTCAAGGTTCTAACCTTAATGAGATTTTAATATAACAATAGTAGACAACTATCAATTATACATGAATTATACATTAGATATAAAATTATTATTATTATTATTATTAATTATTCATTAAATACAAAATATTTCTTTAATCCTCGTTCTAGCACAAATTTGGAGAGAGAATAAACTAAAAATTTTGCTTGCTCATAATCTTGCACAAAATAAGCGGCATAGGCTTCAACTATCTTGCCCGGGCCGAAGGCTGCCTGGTTTTGTTAATGGAGCTGATCAGTTTAGCTGCAAAAGGACGTAAATGAGTTCACACAAGTGAGAATCAAAAAGGAAATAGCTAGCCAAAGCCAAAGAAAATCCATAAGAAAACATAAAAGCTAGCTACAACTTGTGCTTGTAATTGCCTTTCATTTTGTCCTTACCATTACATGAGGAATCAATGCACAGCCGATTGAGCAAGAACATGATCAGAAGGGATCACTTGGAGTGATAAAATTACCTTGGTATAACTACATATCTAGAATAATTTTGACTTTAAGTGGCATATGGTAAAAGGTGAGAATTGTTCCATTTTTATGTTGCTCTTCGTATATAATTATGCATTTCATTATCAACCAATATCTTTTTGCCGTCTACGTCTCAAAGTTTTCACAATTTCAACAGCCACACCACATTGCTACCTTGCCATAAACAGGCTCTTGCTTAATTATTGTTAAACTAAGAAAATTTAAAGATTTTAGGACCCTTGAAAGAAAATGTTGTATTAGGTAGTTGTGGTAGGTGCAGGGATAATGAGAACAATTAGGCAGCCATCTTTCTCGTTTTCTTGATTGATTATTGCCCAACTAACATTTTGAGGTTGCTTTGTATTGTGGGATTTTTTTTTAATGTATATATAATAATAAGTAATAAAACTAAAGTCTAGAGATTCTTGAATATTATATTGAAAGAAATTTATATATATATATATTTATATATATTTAATGCGTGTTGGTATGATGTATTTATAGAAAACGTTTTCTACAATTAGTGCCTCATTAATTAATTGTCATAATGTGAGTTCAATTTTTCCACGTACTATTGAGAAAATGACGGCCAACTTCTCCACTTAGGTTGCTTCGGAAAAAGAAGTAGCTCTTCCATTTTTATGAAGTACCGGAGCATATATTTCTTTGTTCCCAATAGTAGGTTTATCTCTCAATCATTACTTAACCTGTGGTTAGCCTAAGTGAGGCTCATTTCCATCAATTGGTTCCATGGTGTAGTGGTTAGCACTCTGGACTTTGAATCCAGCGACCTGGGTTCGACTCCCGGTGGGACCTGTGCACTTCTCCTTTTCAAGTTTCAAAGAGTACTGGACCAGGGTTCCAATGTACATTTTAACAGCAATGGATCTCATTTTCCTCTTTTTTATGGCTCACAAAGATAAACATTTGCCCAGTTCAAGGCCCAACGTCGGTCCACTCGTTAATAGAATCTGTCCTCTCTTTTTTGACAAAATAATCTGTGCTCTCTTGAACTTGCCAGCCAGCCCTTAAACACCTCGTTGCTGGCCATAAAATGCCCCCCAATTGTTTTCCATTGTTTTTTTAAGTTCGGAGATTCATTTAGATTTAGTTACATAATAAAAGATATATAATGATTTTTTTTTATTTCATATATCCTTAATTTGAAAATTCAAAGTTGTAATAATTAGGTACTTTCTCAATTTTTCACATATTGTACGAAAATATTCGGTTAACAAAATCATTACTCATATCAATTTTTTATCTATCAATCATATCAAATTAAGCACTGATTAAGTAATGGTATTGAAAAACTCATTACCGTGACTTGTTGAAATTTATGTATTACTAAACATTTTTATTGATTTAATTTTGATTAATGTAAAACACAAAGTTTACTTTTATCTAATTTTGTTATAGCTCTTGAGTGGGTCGTGCTCCTAAAGTACCAACTAGTACTAAGTTATGGTTTGACTAAAATTGAAGTAACTTATGCTAGTCAGAGCTGAGTGATTCAAAGTTAGCAAGTATCCTACCTATTACCATAACCATAGGCATTGGTACTGGGATCGTCCCTGTCACGTCTCATTTCTTAGGATGAATATTGTGGGATAATATGTAGATTCCATATAACTTGTATAGATTTTCCCTTTGTTGAACTTGCTGGCTCTACTTGTCTTGTTCCAAAAGTTCAACGGTATATTTTATAGCACAAAAAAAAAAACCTTATTATGCTTGGAACACACTAATAAAAAAAAGAAAGAAAGAAAATAAAAAATGGCATCATTCTGTGTTCAAATTTGTTGCTTAGAATGCCAAAGCCGTAATCATGCCTTGGTCCAATTGGCATCGAATCCGCCCCTTGGGTGGGCCTTGACCCCCTACCATCAGTTTCCCTCCCTTAATTATTTCCTTTTTTTTTTAAAGAAAAGAATATTGTTTTTTTATTTAGTAAAAAGAGGGACCCATTTAAAGTGTCACGTCATGAAGCATGGGGGAGAATCATTGGAATGGACAGACTCTTGTCGGAAACAAGAATTTACGTACAGTATCCATCAATCTTAATCCGCGTTCTGTTTTTTAAATTATGCTGGCACTGCCTAAATAAAACGAAATTTTGGAGCAATTTTGAAATTGTTGACCTGTTCGGCGGGGACCATCAACCAACTAGACGGCGGTGGCTGATTGGCTAAGTTAACGGGGGAAGAGAGGGAGTATGACAAGTAGAGAAAAGTCAATGCCTACTGTTGCCTCCAATATCAAAATAAATAATAAAGTAAGCGAGTGAGAAAGAGAACCCACAAAAAAGAGCCGCCTTTTCTCATTTCCTTGCTGCTTTTGCCAAAAAAACGAACTTGTTTTTTCACTACTAATAATTCTTCAATTCTCTGTACCCAATTGTGAGAGAGAAAAATAAAAAAAAAAACGATTGGATTTTTAGAAGATGAATGGTTTGCAGCCTCCTCCACCAGATTTGGCCAATGAAGCCAACCATGGCGATGGTTTCATTCAAACTTATAAAGCTTGGAAGGGCAGCAATGTGAGCAAAAAGGCTTCTTTTCTTTTATCTCTTTTTTGATTGGATTGTTGATCAAAGATCTGAATCTTAGGGTTTATTTGATGGGGTTCAGAAGTGTATGCTTATGGGTTTTTGTTTCTGTAATATGGGAAAGTTTTCTTTTGTAATTAAAAGAATGGTGTTTGGCTTATTGGGTCATTTTCGTTTTAGGTTTTTGTTGCTTTAATGCTGGTCCAATTATCTTGGGAGTTTAACTGGTTGATTAACATTTGCCAATAGGTGAATAGGGATCAGTTTGCTAGTGAGGGAATTGATTAAGCCTGACCTGCATCTGTAGTTCAATTTGGTGAATTAATTGAGATGTTGTAGTCTGACCCAACTTTAAGCATATGGAAGATCACTTAAATCACAGTCTAAATCGATTTTGTGCAAAGAATTGTGGGAGAATTGACCTGTAATATTAGTAATGCATTTGTTGTATCTATGGTTATGCCAATAATTTCTGGGTGCTCTTTTTTTTTTGCAGGTATTTGTTTTGGGGGGAAGGCTTATATTTGGACCTGATGTGAGATCTCTTTTCTTCACCATCTTCTTAATTGCTGCTCCTGTTGCTGTCTTCTGTGTCTTTGTAGCAAGAAAGCTGATCGATGACTTTCCTCATCACTTGGGAATTTCCATAATGGCTGTTGCTGTGGCTCTCACTTTATGTGTGAGTTCCTTTCCTTCCTGAAACCATTATTTTTATCTGTCATGCTTCTTGTCACTGATGTTCTGCATCTAACTATCCTTTCAGTATTATTTGAGGTGATTTTACTATCTGCTCCAAGTCTGTAAAAATGATATTAATAGTTAGTGCTAGCTTGCCTGTGAATATGAATTCTACCATTGTATGATTGATATCATGAATCATTTGGAGTTGCCATTATATATTGTATACATTTGGAGTGTTTTCCTCTAGTTCTCAGATCGACATTCAATTTTATTCTCTTTATATATAATATGTGGAAGAATTACATAAGTAAGAAGTTTATTTTGTCTTCTCAATTCATATTTTGTTCTTCAAAGTTTTTTTGCGACAATTGGTTTTATTAATTAATGTAAAGAATGAAGTGCTAAAATAAATTTCATAATCACTGCAAATCTAATGAGTCTTGGATGCACTTTGTTTCTCCAGGATATAATTCTTCTTCTACTAACCTCAGGAAGAGATCCTGGTATAATTCCACGAAACTCTCACCCTCCTGAGCCAGAAGGTTATGAAGGAATTACTGAATTTCGGCCAGGCCAAACTCCACCATTACGTTTACCACGTACAAAGGATGTGGTTGTCAATGGTATAAGTGTGAAGATCAAGTATTGTGATACTTGTATGCTGTATAGACCTCCCCGATGTTCTCACTGTTCAATATGCAATAATTGTGTGGACAGATTTGACCACCACTGCCCTTGGGTTGGTCAGTGTATTGGACTGGTAATACAAACTGTTTTACATTATATTTTCTGCTCTCTTCATCCAAACTTGTGGTAACAGCAGTGCTATGTTTTTAGGAAACAGTTTTTGGTCTATTTGTTTATTTCATTCTTTATCTGTTTAAAGCCCTTCCTCTTCCAGTCATTTTGATATGTGCTATTGGCTTTTCCCAGCATGTTCTAGAAGGGCCAATTCTGTGGTGAATAGCGATAGAGATTCTTGCACCTTAAGAATAGTTCAAGCTAATTATCAAAAAGAAAAAGAATAGTTCAATTTTAGCTAGTACTTGCTTTGTACATTCACATGGGAGATGTCCGATGACGTCTCTGAATTCCTTTTCTTGGTTTGGTGCAGCGGAATTACAGGTTCTTCTTCATGTTTGTCTTCTCTACAACTCTTCTTTGCTTATATGTGCATGGATTTTGCTGGGTGTATATCAGGAGAATCATGGACGGTGAGGCGACAACAATATGGAAAGCAATGACTAAAACTCCTGCCTCCATTGTGCTACTAGTCTACACCTTCATTTCAGTCTGGTTTGTTGGTGGACTAACCGTCTTCCATTTGTATCTAATCAGTACAAACCAGGTAACATTTTTTTCTGGGTCATTGTACCTTTGTGATGATTAGCTAATTCTGGCACTTTGAATCTGTGTAGACTTGCGTTATTTTTCTGGTAAATGAGGGAGACTACTTCCTCACATGTGACATGTAGTGATAAATTTATGCTTGAATCTTTTATTCCTTTTTTATTAAGTGTTCTGTTTCTTCTTATGCTTCTAACAGCAGAGCTTTTTTTCTGTTCTTTGGCAGTCTACTTACGAAAACTTTAGATACCGGTATGATCATCGTGAGAATCCATATAACAAAGGGGTAATTGAGAACTTCAAGGAGATATTCTGCACCAGTATTCCTCCATCCAAGACAAATTTCAGGGCAAAGATTCCAAAAGAACCTGCAATTTCACCTAGAACAGTGAGTGGAGGTTTCATCAGTCCAAACAAGGGGAAAGCCGTTGGTGACTTAGAAATGGGGAGGAAGCCAGTTTGGGATGAGACTTTAGGGGAGGCAGGTGATTATGAAGGACAACTTAGTGGTGATGGCATGGACAAGGACAGCGGATTGCCTGATGTGTCTCCTGACTTAAGTAGGATCCTTCCCCCAGAGAGCATAGAGGGACGTGGTGTCATGCATCATCCTAGGCGTTCTAGTTGGGGAAGAAATAGTGAAAAATGGGAAATATCACCTGAGATTCTTCCTTTATCCAGAGTTGGAGAGTCAAAGAGGATGAATGGTAGGAGCAACGCTGAATCCACGAATGGGAATCAACAATTTGAAACAAAATTCTGAACTGTAAATTAAACAGGAGAAAAATATTGTAAAAGGTTCTCTTTTTTTTTCATTTTTGTCTCTGAAAGAAGACGAAAATGAAAAAGAAGGGGAAAAAATGGTGTGGGTTTGGGTGGGGTGTTGATTGGAGACTAATGCATTTAGGTTGTTAATCTTTCAAATTGCTGAACTGTGTTGTAGTGTGCCATTTGTTTTGTTAATACGAGGTTTTGGGGCTGTTTTATTCCTCCCCTAAGAAAGAAGAATCCCTGCACGAGTTTTTCTTTTATCCCCATTTCTATCTTTTCCTCTCTTTTGGGCTTGGAATATTCAGCCACGGCTTGTTGCATTTCTTTTTCTTGCTACATAAGGCTTTATCTATGCAAGGATCGTTGCTATATGTGCAATTGATTAACAAAGATACATGCTTCACTCCTTGCATTGGAAAGTGGCTGCGTTGACCGTGATTTGTGAAAGCCCTTACAAGTCTAGCTCGTGGGACTAGGGTTGAGGATTCTCAAATCAGCAGTAAAAGTATGCTTAAATCGATGTTGCTCGTGGTTTTACGACAGAACCATGGGGGTGTAAGTCGGGGTGGGGATTAATTCTTGCTAAATCCTTGAGCTTATAGCCTCTTGTTGAGGTACTGGATGCTACAAAAGAAGGAAAGTGCTGCCAGTCATTGACCTGGCCTCTAGCAGTAGTAGTTAAAGCATACCTTACATTGGCAAAAATGCGCAGGAATAACTGTTCCTGGTACTGCCTGTTTATAGACATCATCGGTAATTAAGCCATTGCTACAGCCTCAAGGGGTTTTCAGGATTCCCAATACCACCCAAACCTTGATAGATTCACATCAACGCCCAAAGCTTAGATAAATTTTAGAGTAAATTCTACTTACATTCTGCGATTTGAACTTTCCTCACATAACAATTTGTGGTTTGTTTTCTCAATTAGCACATTTGTAGATATCTACTATTTTTCTACTTCTTTTTTTTTCAATAAACACCCTGTAAATAATTCTGTTTTTACAAGATGCTAGGCTGTTAATCAAAATTAACTTATTTGTTCACATTTAAAAGTATTTTATAATATTATTAGACAATTAACAGCTTAACCTTTTATGAAAATATATCCACAAAGTATATTAATTGAAAAAAAAATATATTCCCAAAGTACCATATGGAAAAAGTCAAAATTACAAAAAATATAAGTGAAATTTACCTTTAATCTTAAGAACCAAATAAGCACTTGCATGAGCCATTGGCGCTTACTATTGACTAATTATCACCATACCCTGGTGCTGTAGGTACCCTGGCATGAAAACTAGTGATATTGGCAGAATAAAATGCTTTTAGATTGATCAGTCATCATTAACAACAACCGTCAGGCTCCAAGCACGATAAAATAATTGCAAAGACCAAGAGCCTGATGCCAAAGCATATATTATTTTCTAATCAAATGAAAACTCAAATAATTGACTTGCAGAATACTCAACTTACAAAAGCCTTCCTGGTATAGGAGTTTTAACAGAATTAAAACGAGTATCGGTTAAAAAAAATACAGCAAATTTTCAGTCAATAATCAACTGTTGAGATGCAAGGAAAGGTCACAGCTTGTAACCAGGACTGCAGGCAAAGTCTTCTGAAGCTTACTGCATGGACTGAAAGCGTTTCATGATGATAAGGCTCATATCCATGTATCGCTGAGCACAATGAGAAAGGCAAGCTGATTCACTCGAGCTGAATTTGCTCCCAGGGGTACTTGTGATACACTTGTCCCAGCACACACTGGTAAGCTTTGCCACCATTTCATTTACCATGGCTTTTTCCTTTTCTTGCTGTACAGCCACAACAAAGTAATCAGAAACGAAAAGATGCAAAGATTCTAAGCTTCTCAAGGTGATGGAAATGCCACATACAACTATTACAATAACAATAATTGAAGCAATGGTTGTCAAATATATAACCAAAGATCCTCTCATTTATTTTTCTCAGTTCCTTTAAATGCTACTTGCTGTGCTATATGCTAAACTCTCATTCACACAACATATTGGTATATAACAATAACATTACAACAAAATCTCCCACCGCAATTTAAATGGTTCGACCTAGACAATCATACACACGGTTATGATGCAAAATGCTGAAATTATTCTATAAATTGGATAAAAGAGAGAAAAACTTTTACCAAAATGAGGAATTCTTCAGACTATTAACTTCTGATAGAGAATTTGTAACTAGAAACATCTTTTAAAGCAAAGGAATGCGATGAACCCATTAGCCTAATTTACCACCATGATTTTGTTTCAAACTTTCTTTGATACTTAAGACTCTACATAGGAAAAACGCAAAAGCCTAACAGTGTATCACCCATCAACTCATCAAACCAAAAGAAGCGAATGGACGATGAATGAATAAAATCCAGAGCAATTTACAGATTACTACTTGTTAATATTCTCAGAAATGAAACAAAAGAGAAAGAGCATACATTGAGGAATCGTTGCAATTCAGAAGAGTTGAGAGATGGATCCATTTGGAGAAGATTGAATCTTAGCACTGCTTCGCAAATGGCACAGAAAACCAAAAGTCTAAAACCCTCTTTCAACCCCGAAAAACTTAAATGGAAGTCCCCCCCAAAAACCCTAAAGAAACCCTGCCCTCACAAAACGCAGAGCGGAGGAGCAAGAAAAACATAGTAAGGCACACCAAAGGTCCATAAGGGCCCAGTATCCCTGCGGTAAACAAGATGGGTTGGACTATTCGATTACCAGTTTAGGCCCATTAATCCTTCACCATGGGCCCAAACAACGGTTCCCCTGTTGGAGAACTAAAATTTCTACTCAGACTATACCACTCTTATTAAAGGTTTTGCATGATGAAAGCAGATCGTAAAAATCATGCAACTTTTGTTGCTGTTGTCGAGTGGAGTGGAGTGGAGTCAAGCATTAATGAGTTTCGATGACGATCTTTAATGTAAAGTAGGGAGGGGGCTGAGTTTCTGATTTTCCGAATCAACATTGCGTGGAAAGAGCAAAAGGAACATCTTCACTATGAAGAAAAGCACCAAAGTCCACGTCCTTCCTTGGAAACCTTGTGCTTTGACAATTTTGCTTTTGTTATCCCAATAAAGCATAACTTTCTGTTGTTCGTTTGTTTTTCCAACTCAACTAATCTTCAAACCATAGATACAAAGTTTCTCCCCAAATCAACTTTGGTACTAGTATTTTATTTTCCTCGGTTCAACAAATTAGTTGGATAATTTATTTTGGAGTTGTGACGAATTTCTATTTTATATCTTCACGTTTTTACATACTTCCTTTTTTTTAAAATAAAAATTCAAATCGTAATGCAAGTCGATTGTTAAAATTTATATAAAAATTTAAATAAATTACTATTAATAATTTAAATATAAAATTTTAAAATTATATAATTTAAATTTTAAAAAATTACAAGATAAGTGATGTTTGAACCCGAATCATTATAAAAATTACTTACTTTACTAATTTTGGTCTTGTGGGTTTTGGTGAGATCTTAATTTCAAGTAAACCTTATTTGTGATTTAACGTGTAGTTCTATGATAGCGCATTTTAACTTAGATGTAAATGTGATTATTAAAATTTATATAAAAATCTAAATTAATCATTACTAATAATTTAAATTTAAATTTTTAAAAATCACATAATTTAAGTTTTAAAAATTATTAAGTTAGTAGTGCTCGAAGTGAATGGAGCATCAATTAAAAAAAAAAATACACTTTGCTCTGCTCTTAATTAATTAAACATATTCCTTCGTACATATGTTAAAGGAAAGCCGTATGGTATTGTTAATCTGTTCATATAATTCAAATTAGGCCACCCTGGAAAAGTTGGAAAGCTTAAAATGCTGACCATGGAGTTGATATTATTGACAACAAAAAGATGGCTGAAACCCTGACCGAACCACTAAAGAAGAGAAGGTGGAGAGATTAAAAAGAAGAAAATATAAAGAAATAGACAGACCACTGCAGTTTGAAACTTACACATTAAGTAACTATTTTAATCTCAACTGCTGCCCTGCCATTGGTGTGTGCCGTGGATATTAATTATAAGCACAGCAATAATGTTTGTAACTTGTCAATTCAAATTATACCCAGGAAGCAACCTGGATGAAATTGATACCTCGCCAAAAAACATGACCAAAATAACTTTCCCATTCACAAAGGGCTTTCAGTGCATATTTTTTCTTTTCGCATGTAATTTTAGTATAAATTTAAAATTTTGAATAAAAATAATTAAATTAAATTTTATATTTATAATAATAATAAAATTAAAAATTAAAGAGTAGTGACAGTCACCACTCATCACTTTCGTGGCTCGATCTTTAAATGTGAATCTATTAATTATGGATTTCACTTATATGATAATTAATATTTGCATGGAAAAAAACAACTATATGTTTGGAAATAGGCTAAACATATGTAAAGCTAATATTTCATTATTTAATAAAAAATAATGATTCAATGGACAAATCAGGTCTGACTTAAAAACTGAGAGGCCAAAGGACCCGACCCGAGCTCTTGTCCAGCTTGGCCATGGGCGCCTGTTGATCTTATGATAGGATTGCAATTATTTGATTAATATACATTGAAAATTATTAAGTATATATATATATATAGATGTAAAATTAATCATTTTCTATTTATCAAAGAACTAAAATATAATTAATAATGTTCACTTTGAAATTTTATCAAATAAATGCCTCCATCTCAATTATTAACTATGTATGTATTTCACAGGGTAAGATAGACTAGGGGTATTAGTAAAAAAACTATGTATCAGGTTTTGCTCTGCAATAATATATATATTTGAAAATTCACATTTAATAAAATATTGTTTAGCGTTTAAAAAGATGAAACCTCTAGTTAATCCATGACTTCATTAAATTATATAGTAGTCGTGTACTCAAAGAACATTGTAGCAAACTTAAAATGAGATAAATAGCACAAAAATTGTAAGTAATAGTTTTGACAATTGCTATAGGGGGCATAATATAACTATTAAAATCTAAGATTTCATTTTTTTGTAGTTTTAGGTTCGTATTTTAGGAGGAATTTATTAATGAGAGAAGGTTTATCTCTTTTTAATTAACAATCTCAATAAATTTTTACATGCATATTAAATTACAGAAATGACAATTTTTATGAAGAAAAAAAGATATATAGAATTATTAATGTGAGAATAAAGAATACAAACCAAGTTTTCAAAAAGATCAAATATATTGTTGCAAATTAATTCATAATTTTAAAACAAGTATAGTTCATATTGCATACTGAAATCATTGAATAATCAAAATTTTGTTTCTATATAATCAAAGTTACTTGTGTGTTGCAGGATCAATCTTGTTATGCAAGGCAATTGTTAATTTGTTTATCATTAAGAAACCATTCAAGAGATAAGTTAGTGTAATTAAGCTAGGCAATGGATGGTCCAATAACATTAATATCGTAAATTTTTATTTTAATTAAAAAAATTTAAATTCTGTTATTTAGATAAAAAATCTTATATTAACTAATAAGTTAAATGTTGTAAATTTGTTTATGTTAACTTTTTTGTTAAGAAATCAGGAGAAAAATAATGAGTGATTGTTTCCAACTTATCGAATTGAATCTTAAACAGAGATGGGGGTCCATGCTATCAAATTTAGGAGGGACCAAAAAGGGTGAATATGCATGACAATGTAAAAATGCTATTGGAGAGCAGCCCTCTTGTCAGCCCCAAGCTTCACCCCTGCCAAAGGTAGGCCGCCCTCAACCTTTACTCTTTTTGGTTACTAGTAATAGGGCAGGTGTAGTACCACATATTTTGCTGTCAACTTCGTCCATTTAACCCTTATCTACAAAGATGCCAACGCATCGAAGTCGGCTACCCTTAGCTTAACCTCTTGGTTTGTTTTCTATCCCATGTTCAAACGTTTAATTTAGCAATTTCCCTTTAGCTTCAATTACTCACAAAATGCAGTTAATGTTTGACTTGTTTTATTACATTTTTTTTGCCCTATGGCATTGCCAATATTTCCCTAAATTAATTATATCCTAATAATCGAAACATGTAAAAAAGAAAAAAAAAACAACCAATTTGGCTTTTACATTTCTTTAATTATAATCTGTCATGGTCGATTATCAACGTTGACACCGATGGAATCCTCCTCTTTTGCCTTTTTATCTTTCGCTCTCATTTTCAACCCCTTTGTTTCTTCCTTCCATCTCACAAATCTATTCGTCTTTTTATCTCTCCTTCGTCACAGTGTAAGGTTGCAAGTACGAAGAAAACTAAACTCAAGATGCTCCGAATCTTGATTTGATGTTTCTCTTTAATTCCCACTCATGCAAAGTAAGATATGCAATTCTCTCTGTCACTCGTGTACATATACTTTATATTGATTTTTAGCAAGGAAAAAAAATAATCTTTTAAACTTTTTAAAAAATTATAATTTGGCATGAATACTAGAATGCATTTTTTTTGTTATTTTACAATAATTATTTGAAGACAAAAGATCCATTTATATCGATGTAAAATTAATTAAATTTTATATCCCCTCATATTTTTTAATATAATTTACATTTTGTTATTCTAACTGTTAAAAATCATGCATGCTCAATTCATGTAAATCATGAATGTTAAATTTTAAATTAATTAAAAATATTTAACTATTTGATTGATAATAATAAAATTTCAATCCTTAAATATATGTATTAAATTTTCAATCGATATGATATGAATATATATATATATCAATTTTACTTAAAATTTAACATATATGACAGGTGCAAGTAAATATGCGACAAAATTTCTTAGAATATTAATCATGATATAAAATTTAATTAATTTTACCTCAATATAGTTTGATCTCTTCTGGTTATTGATATTTGATGAAGCAAGCAGATCTCTTTGTTACCTACCTACAAGCAAACAAAATAGTAAAGGCAACAATTATAAAGAAATAATTATTTTAAAGGCGGTGGCGCCAGCGCCGTTACAGTAAAAAGCAAGGGTGGTTAATAGCACTTAAAAGATAGTATGATACATTATTCGTTACCTGCAGTCTCTTTTAAGTTTCCACCAAAAAAAGAAAATCTCTTCATGAAAGCTTATTTGTTTAATTAATTATTCATTAATTTGATTTGATATACTTTAAGAATCCGTCATTAGCGGCCTCTAATACAAGGGACCGATTTCTTTCTTCTTTTGCCCCTATAAAAACTTTAGATGGCATCTCCTTGACTTTCGCCTCATCTTGAGTTGACAGAAGAAACTGATCTCAAGTCTCAGCCTTTCAGGGAGAAAGACATTTATCAGAATGAACAAGCTCAATTTTGTTAGAGAGGGAGTGACCAAATTACCGCCTGGCTTCCGTTTCCAGCCAACAGATGAAGAGCTTGTCTTTCAGTATTTGAAATGCAAGGTCTTTTCCTTCCCTTTGCCTGCTTCAATCATTCCCGAGATCAATGTTTGCAACTATGATCCCTGGGATTTGCCAGGTTAGTAGAAATTTGTTCTGAACGGGTAGACTTTTTCTTTAATATTAGCTCTTGCTGGCATGCATTGTCACTGCAAAATTGCGACTTAAACTATGGATATGGTTAAGACATAATGTTATCTGTATATAGTATACGTATATGAATTTATGGATTACAGTTTTGGAGTAGGAAATAGCTAGTTCATAATTGGGCAGCAAAATGGGCTAGTTTTGTAAAGTTTTAATAATCTCTTGAGTTCTACTTATTTCTCTCTAGGTGAGTCGGAGCAAGAGAGGTTTTTTTTCAGCAGTAAAGAAGCCAAATATAGAATCGGGAACCGAATCAACAGAGCGACTGCTTCTGGTTATTGGAAGGCAACCGGCCTAGACAAACAAATTACATCGAGGAGATATCAAATAGCAGGGATGAGAAAAACTCTGGTTTTTCACATGGGGAAGCCTCCTCATGGGTCTAGAACTGATTGGATCATGCATGAATATCGTCTAGTTACTGTAGCAAGCAAAGATTGCAACTCTCCACTGGCGAAGAACCCAATAATCCAGGCAAGTATAGATATACATATATATATATATATATATATATACATACCCTCGCTAGCTGCATGTATTCAATTCTGAATAATTAATGTTGTTTTCAAGTTTTGATATAATATAATTCGATATTCCGCAGAATTTTTTAAATCATCATATGGAAAAGTGGGTTGTCTGTCGTATATTTGTGAAGAAAAGAAGTAAGAGAAGTGAGGACGAGATTATTCAGAGTTTTTGCAACAATAACCACGAGGATAAAAAATCTATGGCAGTTCCTCATGAGCCTAAATTCTTTTATTTTATGAGAGAAAAATCTGGAATAACTCCTGCGTCTTCTTCCTCATCTTCTTCAAGTTCGAGCAGTATCACAGAGATTTCTTCAAGTGGAGCAGACCTTGAAGAAAGCAGTAGCCACAATATCGTCCGTTGAACTTGTTGAGCACAGAGCGCTAATTAAGCAGGTGCTAATCTTTCCCTGCTTGCAGTTGGTTAATTATATATCTTGTCTAGCTTTCCTTTTTGTTTTGCTGTTGATATAATAGTAGTTTATTGTTATTTAACCAAGTAGTCATGCAACTCTATTGCATCCGTATTGACTTCTGAAAAAATTCCATATATCTATATAATATATATTGATCGTGAATGAGAAGAAGGAATTAGTCTTTCCAAACAACCTTTTATGAAAAGCCATATCCTTTTCCCAGAGAAAACGAAATGAGAAGGGAATAAAAACAAGCATACGTCAACTTTGCACCAAAGAAAAAAAAAATTCTCTGGGCCAAAGCACCAGTAAATAAAAAGAAAGAATATCTGCACATGGGATTCACTTGATCAGCTTTTTCCCTGGTCCTGTGTAAAGTGGAACGTCTTAGAAAGAATAAATGCCCATCAGCCCTTTTGCATTCCTTTATTTGTGAAAGTGGATTCGGAGCCCAAAAGTACGTGGTTCAGGTTAATTTATAGTAAAATCAATGTAGTATATATGTATACATCACTTGTAAGTGAAGAAATCGGTTGATGAAATAATATTAATTTAGATATTACCTTCATAGAGTGGAAGTGAGAGGGAGGGTGTAAAGAACCTTTTTTTTTAATACTATATATATATTATGCATATCGAAAGTGTAATTAGAAATATTTACATTAACTTATGCATCATGCATTCAGACTTTTGCATTGTTAGAAACTGTTGGCTTACGTGCCATTTTGTTGTAAATTTGCATTATCTTAATTGCTTGCAATTATGCATCCAAGAGATCACACTCGAATCTTGTATCACCTATTGAAAATTGCACAACCAATCAAGATAATCAAAATCAGAACCAGCAGCAGTAGTGAAGAGAATAAAGCAAGGAGGGTAGCCAAGTTCAACTGCCGATTTATGGTTTGTAAACCAATAAGAGAATGCGAAATAACAGAGCTGATATCATCAGCTGTAGCACCATCTTTCAACGTCGAGTGGCAGTGGCGTTTCTGTTATATATAACCTCTTTTCATAAACTGTGGTCAAGTCTGGCCATTTCTGGAAAATAGTATAATACTTGTTATTGATTTAAAGGATATTTGAGAAAGGAATATGCACGTTTCTTAGAGAGAGAGAAAGTTGTATTGATCTTAACAAGTTTTACACGTGTAAGCTAGCAATTGATGTTTGATAGATATAGTTATTATTCCACGGTCGATGCTTGTCCAATTTAGTAAAGATTTCTGAAGTCCATTAGGGCCCTAGCTAGAGACTGAATTGCATGTGCTGTTCATGGTGGCGTACGTTTCTAACTTATAATCTGATTAGATATGGGGCATCCCAGTCTAGGAGAGCTAATTTTAGAATGAAAAACTATTATTGTTGTGCATGCGCAGATATCTAGAAGACTAGATCATAATCAAGATTTTGACCCCTAAATATAGAATGATCAGGTTACTCAATTATTCATTGTAACACCCCTAAATTGATAAAGTTGAAATGTCAAACATTTTATGATATATCATTTGGAAACAATTTGACTCTTAACGAATCAACAACTTCTCAGCATACCGGCTTGGTAAAAGAGAAATAGTAAATTTTCACAAGATGATATGGCCAAGCTTTGAAACAAATAATCAAATGTATGCATGTTGTATATCTGTAATGTGCCAGAGTTAATTACCTATGCAAGCCAAAATTTTCATGGTGTTCGCCTAACCACCCTGGAACCCTTTGGTTCAAATCCTCGCCTTCCTAACTATTAAATCCCGATTTATCTTTGGAATCCTTCCTTCCCTAACCATCCATTTGGCTTCCTGTCCCCAACTCTCTCTCTCAGCTTGTTATTTTCCCATCTTTCTCTTTAATTAATTAATGGGGCGTGGGGCGTCCAAACTAGACCACCGAAAAGGGGAGATGCTGCCTAAACTGCCTCCTATCCTCAGCCGAAAGCTTGAGGAGATTAGGAGACGCAGGGCAGGGGCAACTCTTTCCAAAAAACAGCTCCTCAAGGATGGTGATGAGGATGAATGTGCATCCATTCATCACAATGAACGCAAAAGTTTATCATCTTTATCATCTCCGGAGCCTGACGAGGATAGCATAGGGTCCGCCAAGGTAGCACCAGAGCCAAACGAGCCCAAGGACATGTTTTCTGATCAGGAGGTTGTAGCCCAAAAGAAAAGAACAGAACAACATAATAATAAAGATAACAACAATGCTGAAGAGGAAGATAAAGAGAAGGTAGAAGAGTTGGCCCTGGAAGAAACAGATGCTGAAGAATATGGCAGGTTCAGCAATGTAGAAGGCTCTCTTATCTGTCCAGGATCACCAAGTTTCAGAGTATATTACATTGAATCACTACAGAATAAGGAGGATAATGGTGAGTACTTTCACTTTTCAGGAATGAATTATGAATTGTTTTTATCTAGTATATTTTTCATTCTATCAAGCAATACAATAACTATAGCAGTACCATAGCTCCAAAGTGTCACGTAATTTATTAACCTACCAAGTACCAAATAAGATATGTAAATTCCTCTTCTTTTGGTCCTTCACAAGCCATAAATTGTTCGTTTGGATGCATCCAGGCAAGGATGATTACATGAACAAAGGCTCGCTGAGTGATACCGATGTAGATGCTGTTGAGATTGTTGAATCCGGGAAGTCCACCGAGGTAATTGACTTAACAATGCTTCGGAATAAATAGTTGATTCCGATTCAATTTCTTTTTAAAAAATGCAATGTAATTAATGAACTACATAGAAATATATATATAGAGCATGAAGAGTATTAGTAATAATTTTGCCAAACAAAAAGCTGATATCTGAAATTCTCTCTTATTCTCTTCATTCAGGAATCGGTAGCCAAGATAAAGAAGAGAGGAAGGAAAGGAATGAAATTTAGGAGGGTTGGTAGACCTGTCAAAAACTTCCTGAGCGTCAAGTCGTGCTACTATCCGTCTTGTGGTGGTCTTGAGATATCCCGTTTGATTGCTGCAAAACCAGCAACAACGTAGGCTGTTCTGCTATTGTTAAAGAGCGCTTATCCCTCTCTTTCTTTACTTTTTATGACTTGTGTAATTCTATTCTTTGCAAAGATAGGAACCGAATGCATCAAATATTGTACCATATGTAATAGATAAAAGAATTTGATAGCTAAAAGCAAAGTTATTCTATCTAACCGGTACTGACACAAAATAAGCCGAAATGCTATGATTAAATCCATTGGTCTATTAATTAGTACTAGTACTAGTTATATTTTTCACCTCAAGGGAGAATGCTTCAATCGCTGAATGCTTTTACATGTTGATATCAGACAGAGATACGAGGTAGATCGAAATTAACTACCCTTGCTATTAAAATATTTGAAAGCATGCATCAAAGACCATATCATGTCTTTTGAGAACATCGTTTGTTATGAAACTAAATCAGAAGTAACTAGTCAGCCTGAATTTTGCATTTGAAATACATGGCGGCCAGCTCTGACCTATGGGTTAAACAATGCACCACTTCTCAAGGCATTAAATGTAGCAATGGTCCCTCCTAAACCCCTGAAGGGATAACAACTTAAATGTTCATCGTGCAAAAGAAAGAACATGAGTTCATTATCCAAATCATGCCTTCCATTTGAGTATAATTTATCCCACCAAGCAGATGAAATTTGGGTCCTATCAACTATCGCTTTGAAGGGAACTTGCAAAATCTGTAGCAAATATATATAGTTGATTCTGTTCCCAATATTTAAAGTGAAAATAATCAACCAATAAATCCAAAAATTTGAACAGAATAAAAAATAAGCCTAATTCCGTACTGCAAGATACTATATGTCACATACTTGCACATCATGCATACAAATAATGAACTGACGCTTAGGTTAATATAAAAGAAAAAGAAATCGAACAGAAATAAAGACAAGAAAAACAGGTAGTGGTAAACAGAGCATACCTATAGTCATAGCAAACCAGTTCTTACAGTTATATCAATGTTAAAATCACACACCAGCTTATGCTTCACAAGCTATACTTTAATCCAGACAAACACTTGTCATGGTGATGGTAGAAAGAGAAAAAATAGGGAAAATGCGAGGGGTGGGATTAAGAAAAGGCATACATGCACATTCCCAATACTAGTAGTTCATAGTTCATATATACCATGCCCTTATTCAGTAGGGAAGGCAGCAGAGAGCAGTTCTTCGTCCTCCGCAAACACTTGCAAATTCTTGGATTTCATCAAGAAACCAACTGCCTCTTCATTGAATTTTAGAAGAAAGGCCAGCTTGATTAGTTCAGAGAGTGAACTAATTTGATCTTCCTTTTCCCACAGTACTCCTTTGGCAATTACTTCAGCGAAGTAAGTAGCACATTCAAGCAAATTCTTTTTCCCAGCCGACTTGTCCATCTTCTGAATGAAAAATTTCGAGCTCTCTTTATCCCAACGTATCATTCGACTTGCTCTAACTTCTTGGGTTTCACCTGAAGATAAAAACAAAGTATATCCCACTGTAATTGGTTCGGAAGTCTCAAGGACAGTGAGATTGAGGAGGCACTTAACAGCTTCATGCCTTTTGTCTGATTCCATTTTTAACGAAGAACCTGCTAAAAAGCCGAGAACAAGTCGAACCAGCTCTTTTCTCATAACACCTCTATGATTAACCTGCTTAAGTTCCAAGTCATTTTTCAGTGATAATTCTTTCGTCTGTACAGACTCGGAGATCATGCGAACCCCAATTTTTCTGTATAATTCAAGTAGCATAGTTCGAGGCAAAGAAGGCAAGCTTGGCTGAGGATACCAGACATATAGTGGACGAGAAGAGGCCAGGACAAAAAGATCCTTAAGTTGAAGGTCATCAGCGATAAACACATCATGCTTGTCAAACAACATAATTCCATCCGAACCTGAATCCACGGGCAACTTTACCAATCTTTCAGAAAGAATTTTCTCATTCTTTGAACTCTGGTGCTGCATAACAAACCTCCAGAATGCACAACACTCATCATGTGACAATTGTTGTCTTGAAGTTTCCCAACCTTTCCAAAGATTGCAATAATCATCAAGTGAAGGATTTGATTTGACACCAAATGCACCAGAGAAAAACTGCAGTGGTAGTTTGTTCTTATAGTGTTTCTCCAAAACATTCAACTGCAAACCAAAGAGACCATCTTTGTCATGCAGAACACATTCATCAGGTTTGATCCACCTTCCATTTTCATTTCCATCAGGGATCCAGATTTTCCGTGTAGCTTCACTATCAGGCGCCCATCCTACTTGTGCCAAAAATTTATATATTCGAATGATTGTGGCAAAATCAGAATGGAAAGCAAGGTGGCTGGCTAGCAATGTGCTTCCCTTCTCAACATCAACAGTAACTCCTATTGAATTGAGCTCTTTTCTATAGGCTCTAATCTCAGAACCATAGAAACCTTCGTCAATGAATGGTCCATCTGTTGGCTTTAAGTCTGATCTCCCATCGAACAATAAGCTCTTACCTGGACTCCTATAACCAGTATAGGTTTTCAACCATTTTTCTGAAACTTTTTTCAAAAACGGTTCTGAGAAGGTGTAATTCTTGTCTTTCAACAAAATTCTCAAGCATGTGAGCAATGAAAGTGCATTTGTGGGAGCTATCATGTGACTACTCCGAGGAAAACAGAGACAACCAGGCACAAACTTCACACCATGTTCAAATTCAACAACCACCCCAATGCTCATCAACTCGTCTCTATACTTGTGAATGTCCTTTCCACAATAATTGTCAGTATCATCAATAAAAGGAAGGAGAGTAATTGCGGAAACCGATTCCCACTTCGGACCAAAGAGGATGCAATCTTTTGGAGACCTAAAATCACCAAGCCGAGTCCGCAACCACTTTACTTCATGGATGCAATTCTTCAAGTCAGAGGGAAATTTATGGCGTGTTCTCTTTAATTGTCTATAGCATGACAGAAATGACAAAATATTATCTTTTGTAATAGAAGATAATGATGCCTGTTGCGTGAATTTGCTAGCAAAAGATTTGACTGCAGCCCTAAAATCCACCACAGCACCCAATATCCTCAACTCACCTTCATAAGAGGAGATGGTACTTCCATAGTACGCACAATCAATTATCGGGAAACAATTGAAAACCTGTAGGAGACAACCCCACTCTCGATCATATAGAAAGCATTCAGACGGAGGTTTGTGACCAAGATTTGTCTTCAAACACTTCGCATTTTTCAGCGTTGTAACAAGGTGCTCAGATGATTTTGCATAATGCAAACATTCCAGCGCCAAAAGAAAAGCATCAGCTTTCAAAGAGGTCAAGCATGAAGAAGATTTCAAGTTTTCAATAACAAGCTGATAACTCCCACTGAAGCGAACTATAACACCAAGCAACTCAAGTTCTGCTTTGAAGCTAAAGATTTCATCACCATAGAATATTTGATCAATAAAGGGGACATCACAGATTTGTATAGCTGTTTTCCATTCCTCATTGAACAAAACAGCTCCAACTGGGGATCTGTAGCCATGAGATGTCTTTAGCCACATTCCTTCTTTGATGCTGCAGATAAATTCATCAGGAGGGAGTAATTTTGTTCTCAAATAGCTGATGAAACCAAGAATGGAGAAGACACGGTCTCTACTTAACGTTGATGAAGATGCTAGTGTCATGAGATGCTTCCCAATAAATTGACATGCTTCTCCATATTCAAACATGACTCCAATTGTTTTTAGCTCCTCCTTATACTTACTTATTCTGTCTCCATAAAAGCACTGATCAATAAGCGGAATATCAACAAACACTAATCCATTCTGCAAAAATCTTCCCCATGACGAGGAATGAAAAAATGATTGTGATGGTGGTTTGTAGCCAGAAGAGCCATTTACTGTGACTTTCAGCCAGGTTCCATTTTTTATGCTTGTCAAAAACTTCTCTGGAATTAGAGTTCCTCTATTTTTCATGTTCTGAATCCAATCCAACAGCAAGAAAGTGTTTTCCTTTGTGAGTGGCGAAGAGACAGCAGGGATGGCAGCATTAGGGGGAGATAGGGAAGGAATGTCTGAAGCTGCAACATTTGATCCTAGAAACTCCAATAGCTTCTTTTCAGGTGTGATTTCACCAACAAAACTTCCAGGACGTAAGTAGTCTTCTCCTAACACAATATAGCCTTCAGTTTTCAGTGGATTCAAACCAATCAAACTCGCCCATTTGCTTCCATTAGCAGGAACAAGAACCCTCCTCGTGGTCGCAGTCACATTACCTTAGTTATCTACAAGTGGCATGATGCCACACAAATAACGAACATCTGGTGCTGCTATGAAATCCTTCAATAATGAATGATATAAGAAGTGAGCATAGGTGACAACAAGCTTCCTCTCACCCCCCAGATAGCCAATGAGAGCTGCTGCATAGTCATATACACTTACAGCAACAACCTTCAACTGGTTTTGAAGCCATTCCAAAATTGTTTCTTTCTTAAAACATGAACGAATGGCTTCTTGTGTGCTTTTGGGAAGAAAAAAACGGTTGGCAACACCTCTGAATTCTGCATTCCAGTCAATCAACCATGAAACATGACGAAATTGATTTGACCGGCATATTACTGCCTTTTTTTGTTGTGAGGATTCACTGATACTGAACAAAGACACACCTCCAAAAGAATCCACATATTTGACAAGTGGTATGTTTTTGATGTCGGTATTGAGGAATATGTTCCACCAATTCTCAGCAAGGAGGAGAAGAAGGTCAAGATAAACACCCTCAGAAACTCCCAAGACAATATTAGAACTCTGAATGCACTTTGCATACCATCCATTCTTGACTGGTCCAACTCCCAAAAAATTTAGAATGTGATCATGCTCAACACTATCAAACGAAGAATGTAAGACATATGTTCCATGAGATGAAAGATTATGCAAGCCTACCCCCTCCTTTCTTGCCTTCTCCACAACATCCCAGAAAGCAGGCATAATTCTGCCCACTTCACTGGGTTTATGAAAAAATTTCTGCTCCGTGCATGACTCATCACTGGGAAGAATATCTTCATCAACCAGTTTTAATCTGATGGATTCTCTAATGGCATTAAACTGCTGATACGAGGAACAGTTGACAGGCAAGAAAGTGAACATCCGAGGCAAACTTGATACTGGAGCATGTTCTGTCATTTTCACCAACGAGATGAATGCATTGACAAAAGCAGAGGGCACACAATCAAGAATCCCTTGGTTCCATTTGTTGTCTAAAAGTATTGTTTCCCTTGATGACGATAAAACAAAATCTGCTTGAATTATGAAGGGTAAGTTGGTCGCCATCTCTGTTGGAAGAAATGCATAGACCCCAGGTAAGGTAATCCCTCTATGGAGACGCTCTTCATTTGGAAAAGCCAATGTGATCACCAACTCTTCAACATCCATCCTCCTTTCCACTTTGTTTTCCTGCCTAACTGGAAACTTTTGCTTCCACATGAAGTAGCTGCATTCCCTTTCAAACTTGTCTCCATTTTCCTTAGCAGCAAGACGGAGGGTATAGGACTCAGCATCAATGTTCTTCCTTGTCATAAAATTAGTCTCGCTTGTAATAGCTATTGCACTTACAGTATTGAGCCTGGGATCTTCATTGTCCTCCCTAACAGAAAGACACTTAATCTTCAAAAGGAATAGCAAAACTTCAGGATGAACACTTGAGAGCTGCTCCTTCACAGGTTTGACCTTGTCAGGCTTCAGGGGCAGGACAATTGTCGTGGTTGGAAGTGTAGAAGACAATCCATATACCTTTCTAATGTCAGAAAGGGTTGGGTTCTCCTCAACCCACTCAGGAACAATGTACCCAAGACTGCAGTGGGGGCAAGGTGCTTCATTGAACCGTATCTGATAGCCATTGCTAAATATATATGGCTGAGCAGTGATCAGAAAGACACTCTTGAATCCAATTCCTGCAAGGCAAACATATTACATCTTTGGTTATCAAGAACAATCACACATATTAGTATAATAACTTCTGTTTTTCATTGTAAGTGCTTCTTGAAAGTGATAACAATCTCTTGCTCCAAAATATTGTTGTTTTGGAAATTTCTTAGTACTAACTTTTATCCTTCAAACTCTCTATATTTTTATGAGATTTCCAAGCCTTACTCAATACTCAATGCTTTACTATGATTTGACTAGCCAATCAAATCAGTTTAAATCTCGCTACAATGTCAAATGCAATTTCTTTTTGGATATTCAATGTGATATTAAACTAGCCAATTTTTTGTAACTAAACAGAAGAATGAAGCAAGTTTAACAGAGTAACTTACAAATACATAATAGAATTTGAGGCATTCGAATCAGCTCTGATATTTCATTGAAATATTTTAACATGTGTTACTCCATTTCTCCATTTTTTTTCCTAAAATATCGTAGGTTACGCAAATGCCTTGAACACTTGAAAGCTGATACAGATATAAGAATGAGGGTAGGTAATACAAAGTCTAAGCAAAAGAGGTCTTATGCTTGTGGTAATATCAACATCAACTAAAAAAATTTTTTGCAGCCAAGAGAACTCAAAATTGTATTGTCAGTAGCAAATATGTGGATATAAGCTTCAAGAGAGTCGAGTGGGACTATAACATATCACGAAAGAAAATAGCCACATAAAAACCAGGCAAATGCAGGCCACCAAATAATTGAAAAATTAAACAATGCAAGGCTAGCTATTCTTGATAAGCTCCCTACTCTGCAAACAATCTCTCAATGGGGATATCCTCTTGTCCGCAGTTAATCTGTTTTCTATTCATCATCTACTGGAAATAGATTTTTTTTTCTTTTTTGAAAATTTCATATGCATTGATAGAAAGGGGAACCTGAGTTCACCACTTACAGAAATTTTGCAAAGCTATGCCCCCACAGCAGGGGTATACCATTACAAAATACTCACATTTATCTACTGGAGATAGATATCATCTGTTTTTTGGTTGAACTTTCTATAAACAAGAATGGTCTAAGGTGATACCGTGCTCAAACACTCATAGAACTGCTATTGATTGGTCCATTGAGTGTGCTTGGATTAAGATCCTAAACGGAAAATTATTTGAGGTTTTGATTTTGAAAACAGCATGGAGTGCCTGTATATATTATGTCTGGTCTGAAAGGAACAACAGGCAGCATGGGAGACAACCTGGCGGTGTTCAATGAACTGTTAACTACATTGTTGATACAGTAGATTTCAACTGGGAACCTGTTCGTCAGAAACAAGGGCTAGCAGCACCACATTTTGTCAAAACTAGAGAATTTCTTCATTTTTACTGAATGATGTTTGTGTAGTTATACTTTGATTGTTCCATTTGCAATATACAAAGTGCTGTAACAGTTTATGATGTAGCAGTTCCACCCTGCTGTCACTGGATAAATAAAAATGCCATTTATTAAAAAAAATAATAATAAATGATGAAATATACCTTTCTCCCCAATATAACCATGTTTCCTGTTCCCTTTCTTAGTGGAACGTCCAACACTGCAAATGGATTCTATGTTTTTGGAGGAAAACCCCTTCTCATTATTGAACATCAGCAATGTGGCTGTAGCTCCTGTAGCTGTGATGTCTCGGGAGGTTATAACAAACTCAAGTGATGGATCCACCCCGTCCAAGTACTCATTGTCTTCTGCATTCTGTGACACAAAATGTTCTAGTATTACTAACTTAATCACCAAGGACAAACTTAAAAACAAGGAAAGGAAACATAACTGAAACCTTGTACCAACTTATAATGTCCAGATTTACTGTCTCTTTCTTAAAAATAAGGGTAAAATATTCACATATTTCTAAGTTTTAACTAAAATTACATGAGGATTCATTAGTTTGGAAAATAAATACTCTGTCTTAAAAAATGTCTGTTGCTAAATACAAAAATCCAACCGTTAGTTAACCATTAAAATTTTCATTAGTTTACTAACATAATAATATTTTTAGACAATCTAATCTCAAATATGTCAAAAATTACAATACTATATAAATCTTCATTTTTCATTTTTCACTTTTTTTCTTTCTTAAAAAAAAAAAAATCTTACCTTCTTCTCTCGCCAGATCCGGCCGGATTTGGCTTTCTTTGACCAAAACCAGTCGAATCTTGTACACTCCCTGCTAAGGGGTCAGATCTGACGTTCTTCGTAATTGAAGAGTGTCAGATCTGACTTCATCAACAGATGTAAGAGAGTGTCGTCGACTGATTAATAAAAATTGAAAAGAAAAAAAAAAGTATTTTAGTTTGTTTATTTTTTCTGTTAAAAGCTTTCATAACAAAATGTGTATTTTTCAAATTAATGAATTTTTATGTAATTTTGATTAAAATTTAAAAATATTTAAATATTTTATCCTAAAAATAAAAATAAACTGAAATTGTTATGTTACTAATATTAATCAACATCAAAATGCAAAGGTTGCCAAGCACCAACCTTCATTCAAGTTTGCTGTGGTTGAGAAGTTACAATAACAAAACATACATATATCTTCAAAATTAATGTTTAAAACTTGAGTTATTAGTGAATCGGTTCTGAACTTAAAGCCAAGACATATATATCAGTAATAACCATTCAAAAGAGGTTAGTTAGAATTTAGAAACACTAAATTATTCAAACCAAGATCATAGTCATATTAACAAAAAAATAATAATTACAGACATAGAAAAACAAATGATATAGTACGTTTCATATTCCTTATGTTAACATACATAAGAAAAAAGATTATGATCTCAAGTCATTCGACTAAGATGTTTACGTGTTATCCCCTTCCTTTAGGGTCTAAAACACTTGATATCAATATGACATATGGTCTTCAAGGAAGAATAGAAAGACCTGGATGAGCTCCATGAGGAAATGGACATCTTTGGTATAAAGCTCAGCGGATAAATTCCTAACAGCTTGATGAAGGTCCTCAGTCAAAGGGTTTGGTTCTCCTCCTATTGAGAACTTTGTTTTTCTGATCTGCTCAATGTGTTCTTTAGGTGTAGCCATTGCTAACATTTTTTTTCTTTCAGAGAAAAGGAAGTTAAAGAGCAGAGAATAGTGAGCTTGAATGAAAAAAATAGCTTTGTTTCTCTAGTGAGGTGAAAGACTATAGATATGGCGTAGAGGAAACCAAGGTGGGAAGGAAAACTTATTGACGAAGGGAACGCTTTAGTTAGAAAATAAAAGAGAATCCGAGAAGAGTGGGAACGGGGAATGAAAAGTTACTTGTACGGAGAGACGAGTACTGGGAATGCCTGTGCGTTTCCACTTACCTTTTGACTAACACTAAGTCAGAAAGTCTTGGTCTTCTCCTTTTCCATGAAAACGCTTGAAGCTTTAACCTTTTTGGTACCTCAAATTAGGATTTATTAATGAAATGGGATGTTTTAATTGGATTGTTATGCGAGTTGCTGTAAGTAGTTTTATGCTTGATTAATGTTTGCTTTTCTATTCTTGATGTTTTTGCATACTGTAGATATGGCGAGTCTTTTCCTGTTTCAGCAGAAGCTCTTGATTCCAGTTTTTGCCTTCCCATAGGGAAAGCTAAGGTACTCTTTCTTGAACATTTTCTTTGATGTTAAGTTTAATTATCAGTAATATTGGTTATAGTTGTGGCTTTATGCTGTAACAGATAGAACGAGAAGGAAAGGATGTAATTATTACTGCTTTCTCGAAGATGGTTGGTTATGTTCTCAAGGTTTGTCATTCCCAACTTTTTTCCGAAAAAGATGGTCAGACAAGAAATTGTAGATCATATGAATGTAGCATGCTAATTGTTTCTCATTTTTGTTATCCATGCAAATGCCTATGTCTTTTCTCTTCTGGTACTAACTTAAGTATAATGGGTTCTGGGCCGCTGATATGCTTGCCAAGGAGGGAATAAGTGTTGAGTTAACTAGAAGTAGATTTTTTAGAGTAGTAGTGGAGTTACTTGACTAGTTGAGGAAGCATAGACATTATATGTGAATGTATCTATATATGAATGCTGTTATCATAACACAGGTTATAAATTTGCGCTCAATTCGTTCCCTTGATAGAGCAACAATTAATACTTCTGTGAGGAAAACTAACAGACTGGTAACTGTGGAAGAAGGGTTTCCTCAAAATGGTGTTGGTGCTGAGATCTGGTAATTAACCTCCCTTTGTGCAATACATATATGTGTTATGTTTATCTTTTTCCCCTTTCCTTGAGTTGTCTTTTAAGAGGTGTTTCTGCTTTCGTAGTTTTTGTATTGGTACTTAATTGTAAAACATTTTACTTTCTGCAGCGCATCTGTTGTTGAGGAGAGTTTCGAGTTTCTAGATGCACCTGTCGAGAGAATTGCTGCTGCTGATGTTCCCATGCCTTATGCTGCAAATCTTGAGAGGATGGCTGTTCCACAGGTCATGTTTAACATTCACTCTCCTTCAACAATTCCTAAGACTGTTTGTTCTTTAAGCTCCTGTGTTGCCTTTAAATATTGTTCAAGATCTCATCTCAGTGAGTTTTTCTGATGATAAACTATTATAGAACCACAAACACAAACATTAGTGGAGATTGGAAATTTTCCTTAAGATGGCTTACTCTATATTTTCCTGTTGATATTTTTTAGCACGTTTTGATCTATATGTCTCATATTTGGATTGTTAAGAATGTTAAAAGTAAACATAAAGAAATTTCAACTCTAGATGCTCAGTAGGAAAGAAACCTTCATATAAAATGATTGGCTCTGATGGGCATGTCAGCCTAGAGGTAACCTGAATCTGAATGCAACATTAAAAGCAGCCTGGAAATATTTTAGTTGGAGTATGTTCTTGTTAGGTTCAAAAAAAGATCTCTTTTTGGTACACTGATGTATCCATTTCTTGATGGCTTTAGCCACAGAAGTTGAAGCAAGTGTAATCAGGAAACATTCCTCTGATATTCTCTCTCTTCATTGCCTTTTACAGGTTGAGGAACGTGCTGCAAGGAGAACTTGCTACAGATCAGTTTGAATGGCAGCAAACTTCATTTGGGATTTGACGTCCTTTGCTAATTGCTATATATAAAAACCACTGTGAGTCTGGGTTATTTTTTGACCCTCAAAAGTTTTTCATTCAGAAAACTCAAGGTAATTCAATACAATCAGGAAACAGCAATTCAGGAAAAATAAAACAACGTAACATATTCTTAACAAATTTAAGAGAGAATAACTCTAACTTGGGGGAACGCTGTACTGCTGGATGCTGAAATGAGCATGGAATTAATGATTTTTGTGTTTACAGCAGAAGTGTAGCACTCGACGTTGTTGAACCGATTCGATACTTACATCTCTTGATATATACAATTGGTTGATGTATCTCAACGTTGACAATCTCATATATTTGTGTTTAGGCCTTGAGGAGAATAATGGGCACAAAGTTTTCCAATTAATGATTGGAGAACCTTTTGGCAGGGCGCATAAATCTAGACGAACTAGAAAAGACGCCAACTTTTTACTTGAATTTTCTAGATACACGATCCGCAAAGAGTCAAGCTGCGGAGTCAGCCGAGCAGCTTTAGATATCAAGTGTCATTGGAACAGAAAGAGGCCAATCTCCATTACGGTACTCAATTTCTCCCTGCAATGGCAGTCTTTGGTCAGTAGTTTCTTCGGGTTTAGTTATGCAACATCACAACGCACAATGAACCTACTCGAGGAAAAGCCACAAGCCACTTCCACTCGAAAAAGTAGCACCACTATCATCCAAAAACTGTACAACAAAAAGTGGAACTGCATTGGCAGATTATACACCAAATCATTTGGGATGGCGGCGGCGTGGTTTGTACACCAGATATTTATATGATCAGATACAAATAAATGGGTCGGGGGAGGAAAATAAATGGGAAAAATGCATTTTCAGTTACGGAACGAAAATGAACACCTCCACACAAAAAGGAATTTTATAAACTTGTAATACTATTCTAATTCTGGCTACGGAAGACTTCAGATTTACCCCTAAATAGCATATCCACGGATAGGCCTATTGAGGATGGTTTGAGACCTCGGATGAACTTTCGAGATGGAGCCCTAGGGGGGTCTCTCTTGGTTTTCCTTCTTCTGGAAGGACCGCTCCCAGGCTCAGAACTTTTAGCAGATCCAGATGACTTGGAGGTGAAAATCGATGAGCTGAAAGAGGTGTCACTCGCATTAAATGATATAGGACCTTTCTGTGATGTATCTACTGGATGCCCAACAGCTCCATCTTGATGGGGAGGTGGGAATTTCTCACTCTTGCTCTTGACGTTTGTTTGTGTCATGACTCTCCATTTCTGTAAAACCAGCAAACAAACAAGTATCCCCACCAAATTCAGAGTGACTGAAGCTTGTAAAAACCGTGGCCACAAACGGAACAAAGGCAATCAAACAGAAAGGTATTTCAAAATTCAACAGTACCCACCAAAGCCAAAATTTAACTGAGGACCATAGGTTTAATGCTAAGCAACTAATACTTGTAGGTTTACGGCACATAAAAACTAATGCAACTAATAAAACTAACATACAGCTAATATTCATAATTGGAGTAATTTATTCCATGGCAAGAAATAAGCAGCTGGGAAACTTCACTTGTGAGAAATTCCAAAATCAACACAACATGCAACTTGAACTTAACAGGGTGCAATTTGGCAAGTATACGGTGTCATTTGAAGTTGGATTAGACTGTCTTTCATCATCCAGCCAAATTTTCAAGCAAGTGATATAAAAATAAAGCAGTAAAATGCATAAATAAAAGATCAGAATAAGAGAAAAGCTCCCACGCACATCTAAGTTGGCTTGAATCTCAGCATTTGCTTCAGGGGCTGGGATTGCCCGACTAGCACGTTCACGAACTTTTATTCTCCTGGCTCCATCAACTGCATTAACTTTGTTGGCTAGACCTCTTTGTCTATACAGGAAATATGTTTATCAGCTACCAGCATATAGCCAAACTGGCAAAAAAAGAAAAGGTGAAAAAAGAAAGCCAGCCAACCTTCTTGCTTCTTCATCTCTCAATTTTACATCCATTTCTTTACTGGGAGGATACTTTGGTAAACTTGATGACTCACAAGCATATGGTTCAGTGGTGAAGAACTGCAAATGGCAAACCAAATATTTCACAAACTAGTTTATAGATAACGCAGCAAGCCAATGGAGAGAACAGAATATCATGTATTCCACAATAGATATATAATAATGCAAGCTAAACATCATGCAAGTCGTTGGAATGTACAAATATATACCTAGTCTGGCTATCTAGAAATATAATTTATAAAGCTATCTTCAAATATATAATAAAGATTACAGGTACAACACAATACTGATTTGCTTGAGAGATGCATTAACTAAGCTGATACAACTCACATCACTATTAAGAGCTGCAGTGGCAGTATTTCGCTCTTCAGGGTCTATTGAAAGAAGAGTTTCAATTAGAGGTAAAGAAGAAGATGGAAAATCCCTGAAAGTTTCCGCTATACAGCGTTTGTACGGCTGCTGTGGCTTAAAGAGTGTTGCATTAGGCCATTTGAATTTCTTCCAATATTCCTCAGAAGGGGATCCACATAACTTGAATATCTTATGCAGTTGTTCAACCTAAGCAGGAAATAAATCTGATGTGAGCCAAAACAAAAGAGAGAGAGAGAGACAACTCTATATAAACAGATACAAAAAAAATACACTACATAATCATAACAAATAGAAGCAATACTAGTTATGAAACAAATACCAGAGTATTTAGGTTTTAGACTGCCCAAAGAGTGATGTACTCTTAAATAATCAGACATCATAACCAAAGAATATATTCATTTAACTTGATAATGGCAGTTCTCCAACAATGCTCAACATGAAATTGGGAAAGGAAGGAAAAAGAATAAATCACCTAGAAATGTATACTTTAAGCAATTCTACAAAAATATGCTTAAGATAATTCTAGGCTAGAATTATCGCAAGCATTATTTTCTGTCGTCAATCGGCACTAGTTACTGAAGAACAAGGCAAGACCAGTCAGAATTAGCTTATTAAAAGCTGCTACATGTTCAATTTCAACAGCTTTACCAACAGAAGTCCCAATCCAGAGCATAATGTGTTTCTAGACATCTAAAACTCAATCCATACTGGGTAGTGAATGACTCTATGCATTACTATACTACAAACTGAAATCTAATACAGCAAGCAACACAGAAGACCAAATCTTTCTAAGAATAGTTTCATGAGGGCTTGCACCGCAGATAACAACTCACATTCCACCAGATTCACAGAAACCAAAGATCTGTTAGGATTAAAGAATAACCGAGACTTTTAAGAGAAGATCAACAAAAAAGAAAGAGCAATTTAGTACCTCTGTCCTTCCCGGCATTATTGGCTTCCCAGAAAGCAGCTCTGCCAAAATACAGCCAGCACTCCAGAGGTCTACCCCAACGCCATAATAAGTTGCCCCAAGAAGCAGTTCAGGTGGACGGTACCAGAGAGTGACTACTCGACTAGTCAGGGGCTTCTTCTGCTCAGGATCATAAAAGGTAGCCAGTCCAAAATCAGCAATTTTTAGAATCCCTTCATTGTCAATAAGCAGATTAGAACCCTTGATATCACGATGCAAAACACCTTGTTTGTGGCAATGCTCTAGCCCAGAAAGTAATTGCTTCATATAGCACTTTACCTGCCAGAGGAAAGATGCATCAAAACAAATTGATCATCTAAATTTCACATCTACAGCCACATAAACATCATTACAGAAACACTGACAATTACAAATGCATAATGCCAGAAGCCAAAACCAGCCTTCCATGAGAATTTCTATCATCTTACTGAAAGTTGCTAATTAAACTCAATTCCATCTAGAAGTTAAGCATTTAATTTTAGATTATCATTCCAAGGGTTGATTATTTCTAATTCACTCGTAGAAGTACTTTCATACACAGCATTATAATTACACACTAATGCCATTTCTCAGCAATTTTTCAAATCATCTAACAAATAATCTAATTTCAGCATAACAGACCTTCTCAAGCAAACAACCAATGACTAAAAGCTTATATGCTTCTAAATTTAACTAAATAGAAATATTTGTTTCCAAGAAATTTGTTTCATAAAGGTGGCAAACCACCAAGTTGGAGGAACATCACAATTGCAGCCTTGCATAGTGTGAATCATTGCCATAAACATCTGAAAAACCAAGATATTCATCAACACAATTATAGGAAACAATTACTATTTCCTATTCGCTGCCAAGGAATGGAGGATCAGAGGAGTAAACTGGTAGTGAGTCATCTGTTTACAACTTTACCAGTTTGTTCAATTTCCAGAAACATGAAGATAGTTAAGAGCTATACTGTTAACTAACATTTAAAAAATTGAATGGAGGTTTCAGTTCTCTTAGGCATCTAAAAAAGTAGCCTTTTTGTTTCCTTGTCATTTCTCATTCATTCCATCTAGAAATTGTCCAAATACAGGAATAGTTTAAAAGAATTGGAAATCAACTCCAAAAATTGATGTAAAGCACGAAATTTCCATGAATCTGCATACCGAAAAATAGTTCCAAAAATAAGATATATAAAAAGCTCAAAAGACACAAATTTGGATTTCAAAACCAATAGGTATGGGACCCAAGTAGCTAGAGGAATACTTAAGAGTAAAATCAAAAGCCCACAACAAGCAAAACAAAAAAGTACAACAATTATATAGTCCCAAAATCTTAGTTAGACGAGCAACAGCGAAATATGGAACGAATCTAAACCGCAAAAATAAAACAACACTCAAAAAGCACCCACCTAAATTAACTACAAAATCCACCACAAATCAATATTAACAATGAAAACAAGCAGTAATCAGCGACAACTAACAACCCATTTGAAGAAAGGATTCTACCTGAGGTTCAGTGAACTTGATTCCTTGGCAGGCAGCGAGGCCGGCAAGATCATGCTCCATGTATTCAAAAACCAAGTAAAGACTACAAGACATTCTTGAAGTAACTAAACCTTCAAGCTTGATTACATTGGGATGGTCAAGCTTCCTTAAGACAAGAATCTCTCTCGCCATGAACTTTACACTCTCTGGCTCCAAATTGTCAAACCTAACCTTCTTTAATGCCACTATTTTCCCTGTTAGTAGATCCCTAGCTTTGTACACGTTGCTGTAAGTCCCTTGGCCAATCTTTAAACCCAACAAAAAAAATCCAAAATTGTTCAAATAAAAATGATTGTTGAAAAAGCGAAGCTTTTTAATTTAAGTTGTCAGAAAGTTGATACCTTGTCAAGCTTCTCAAAGGTGTTGGCACGTCTTGGGGTCCAATCACGTATGGCTTCGCCAGCGACGGCCATCAGCCATGAAGGCCAACCTTGTTGGTTCAGGTCCGGCGGCGGTCGCCGTCTCTCCGGCGCCGGAATTCTAGCCTCGAAATCACCGGTGTGTCTTGCTTTTTGCTGCTGTTGCCTCGGTGTCTCTGGCTCTTTCACATCCACGACGCCGTCAACGGCATCAGTGACTGAAACTATAGTGGGAGACTCGTCGGAGCTCCGGCGACGACGAGAACGAGGAGGATGTGGTGGAGCTGCGGTGTTGCTCCGCCGGCGACCCGATGATGATGATTGTGATTGCTTGCCGAAGACGCAACCCATTCTCTCAAGGCAAATGCATGGGGGATAATATACTCCGATTAACGGAAAACTACTAGCGGCTTTTAGCTAAAAAAAGCCTGACACTAAACGCGACGGCGTATAGAGGAGTGAGAGCACGAATGGTGGTTTTTGTTTCTAACTTTCAGGCGACATCCCGAGAGAGAGAGGAAAAAAAAAAACCATAAAGATAGAGAACCCGCGAAGAAGGCAAAGGTATCTTCGCTTAGCTGACACACTGAAGCAAGTGAAAGCCCTGGTTTATTTGTTCATTTCAATTTTTCAATATTTATTTTAGGCTTTGAAAATAGGGCTGGGACTTGAGGCAAAACTATGAAATTGCCACGCAGCGGTAAAAAAAAAAGGGTGACGTCATGGGATTGAGAAGTCAAAACAAAGAAAATAAAGAAAGGAAATGAAAAAAATTTTTTGAGTACAAATTACATTGCATGATCCTGCCAGAGCCAAGGACATGGCGAAGTCTTCATTTGCGGTCCTCCCCTTTTTTTTTCTCCTTTAGAGCTACAATCCCATGGAAAGTGTTGTCCTTTTCCTTTAAAAATTGAATTCCAAAAGTATACTGTTAATCAATAAACATACAACAAACTTTTCATGTTTTTTCACTTTTTTACCTTATTTTTATAAATATGATAACAGGTCCGAGAATTCCATCATTCAACAAAAAAATGAAATTGTCATTAACTTTTTTTTATCAGTGTATTAACTACCTATATGAATTATTTCTTTCAATTCATTAAAAAGACGAGATTAATGAAGTGTTTACGTTAAAATTTAATTCGACTGATTGAGATTTGTAAGGGATAATTTTTGAAAAGATATGATGATTGGTTTAATATTTATTCTCAAGTTTTTTGATAATAAATGTACTAAATATAGTTCTTATCATAATAATCACTTGAAAAGACAAAATGGATATTATGGCCACTTTTATTATTATAAGTATTTAAATGTGTCTCAAATTCATTAGATTTCAAGTGAGTGTCCTTAATTATACCGTTCTTTCTTATAGAAGATTAATTACATTGTTTATTCCAAGATAAAAAAAAATGACATAGAGAGAGTAAAAGAACTCTTATTTTTCATATTTTGTTTACTTAAACAAAATAATAAAGTGAGAATTAGAAATTCTAATAAAGAAAATGCTCCAAAGAGAATAGTATTAAAAAAATTTCAGTTGCTGTCTAGATGATTGAATTAAGACTAAGTAGTGGTTGAATTGGTTAGAGTGAGAGTTAGATAATTAATACGGTTTCATCCACTTTAATAAAGGGTACTAATGATTACTATCTAGTGGGTTTTGCCTTTTTATTTTCTTTTCTTTTCTTTTCCTACTTGTATAGAAAGAGCAAACACTAGTCAATCTTCAAGAACTGCCAAGCTTCATGCACAACTTTTTCAATCATGCAGAATTATTAAAGGGAAAAAAGACCCAAATTACATGCCAGGTCCTCAACTATATCCAACAACTAAAAATGAACATCATCTTTCAGACATCACAAGCTCGAAAATTTTAAAAAAAAAAATTGTTGAGTTAATTCTAGTGAATGATGTTTCGTCAAAAAACAGTGAACTAGCTTGAGCTTGGTTTCCAGGTTCAAAGTAAAAAAAAAAAAAAAAACTGGAAGTATTAGTAAATCAGGGTGCAGAGAGGAAAAAGTGTTCTGGTTGTGGCTACACCTACCACACTGAACCTCTTTAAAGATGGTCTAAGTTGCATTTATTGTGAGCTACAGAAAAAATGTCCAAAAGTCACCACTGTCAGCCATGGGATGGCACTGGCAGCATGCTTTGTTTTTTATTATATGACAAATTCACAGTTATGTTTCAGTGTAGATTTCGTTCATGTCTACAGAAGACTGGCATTTGCTCGTCTGACCTCCCAATTCTATGCTTCGGTTGCATTAGATATACCTGATTAAAAAGAGTTCGAGAGTCGCAAGACATCCTTTTGGTAGCCTTTTGGCTTAGCTAGCCAGCTTGGATTTTCCCCTAGAAAGTTGCATGTTTGTCGCCATGATATGAACGAAACTAGAACAAACTGTTAAAGGTTTAGTCAATAAATATAGAGTACTTGTTTAGATTTTTTTTTTTCTGCTTCCAAACCCAGCATTTGTAACATTAACCCAACTAATGTTGAAGAAATTGGAGCAGTTCTTGGAAACGAGTGTGATGTTGGGGCCATGATATGGGGCTTGCTTGTCTGCTAGAAATAATGGAGTTGAAAGCAGTAAATATGAAGACTGATGGTTGTCGGAGGTACTCCACCTTAACAACAATTTTAACTGGATTCAATAACTCCTGAATCTATTTCTGGCTGCTTTTCGAATATGAAATGATATATTTAAGGGAAATTGTTAGCTCTCCTTGGAGAAAGAAAGAAAAAATTAAAATTTCATCTGCTATTCGAATTCATAACATAATTATTATTACCGTATGATACGTGATACTTATCATATAATATATCACAATATTAACAAAAAATATACATATTTATAATTATATCTTATTTAATTAAATATCGAAAACACATTATATGATATGCGATACGTATTTTACATAGACGCATCATTACGATACAGTTGATATAATTTTTTATAAATTTAATTTTAATTAATTATTAAATTTTTATTTATTATTATTATTAATTTTTAGTTGAAACATGAAAATTTTATTTTATGAATTTCAATCTTGAGACTTTAAAAAAATATTAAAAAATTGAATTCTTTTTTAATTTTAACATGATAAATGTTTTTTATATTTTAATTAATAAATTAATATAAAATATATATTTTATTTAAAAATCTATATTATTAAGGAATATGTTAAATGTTTAAATTTAAAAAAAATCATATTTTCAATTTGTATCCTATAATCTTCAATTTTGTTAAAAATTATAATTTTTTTTAATTTTTTTATTTTTCATATATAAATGTTATTATAATTAATTTTTAAAATTTTTATCATATATATGATATAATATTTAATATTAAAAAATAAAATTTCGGCACACAATATTTATTTTAATTTAATAACTATGATTTACAATCATTTGTCTCTCATGTAAGTTTTTACCTGGCTCAAAGTTAAATTCCTTGATTCACCCTTCTTCTAGAAATTCAGCCATTGATTCACCCTGCTTTTAAAAAAAATTTTGATAAGTTAGGTAGGATGGGAGCATATATATATATATATATATATATATATAT